TCACGGAGAAATTTCGGCGAGCTTCGTCGACCTGAGCGAGCTCTTCGGGAGCGGCAGCGTCATGGTCAAACTCCCAGATCTGCCTGCCGACAAAGCCATTCGTGCTGTAAAGGTAAGGATCATCTCCACCCTTCGGTGTCCTCAGCTTCCACATTGAGCGACGAACTACGTACCAACCATTTTCTATCTTGTCTGGTTTATATATATATATTAGTATATAAGAACACCAAAAACAATAAAAACATTACAAAAAGGGTGATTTTATTCATATAACGTATAAAATTCGTGTTTTTATCGTTTGGAAACCCGATTTCCTTATTTGCGAAAGCATAGTGGCATAGGAGCAAATTAGTTAGTTGTGACAATTTCGCATTAATACTCTCCGCGGGTTTTCGTTTGTCTATTTTTTTACCAAACTACTTTGACGGCACTTTCAACATTAATACGTGCCACGTTTTGAATTTTTATCACGACAAAACCGTCTAAGAGAAACACATGTATGTCGTAATTTCCAAGGACAAAAATGTCGAATCTTATAAAGTATTGAATTCCATGCACCGTGACGAATCCATAACATTGCAACAATTTTGTTCATCGCCAATTTCTCTGTATCGATCAGTGTGATGATTCTCATTCCACTTATTTGTCACGTCTGAATTTAATCTTATATAGCTTACAGAAAATTATTGCTTGTTTTTTCTACTGATTTAATGGCCATTTGACCATCTCATTCTCACATTAACTTCTACTACCGCATCGGTTCCAACGTCAAACCCACTCTCCCCCCCCCCTATTCGGACGAATATTAATAGCAAAATGCATTGGATTATACGGCGATTTTGTAAAAAAAGATAGTATTAACTGAAGGTATTTCCCAATTTAAAATTTAAAATTATGTAGTTTATGTTTAATATTCAAATTCTTAAAATTGTTAATTAAAAGTTAAGACCAATTAAAACTAACAATCTAACAAAAAAACAATACCACGATTCTTTTGAAAATGCATGTACTAAGATACGATTTTTTTCCTAAAAAAAAATAGATATTTTAATAAAAATTTAAAAATTAGGCATTAAAATGAAGAAAATTGAGGTACTTATTTCTTCTAATAGATGGTGATTTACGTTGCAAATTTATCTCTTTGGATAAAACCCTAATTCAGAAGAGAATGACAACCAAGAGATAAAAACAGGCTTTGGTATTCAACAGACCATGTTAGAAATAATCATGTCATGGACCGACATTTGAACATAATCTCGCATAAAATTGGAAATGTTTCATGGGTAGGATCTATATTTACCAATATATAGTCACTTTCCAATACAACCATATATGGAATATTGAAAGAATCACTGATCATTCATTCGATATTGTTCGGTTGAAGAAGAAGAAGAAGCGAGCAAAGGGATGAGCTCCGGTCGAACCACGGGAGTTGTGCTGAAGGGATGAGCCATTGTCAAGGTTATGCCTTCCACTTCTTCCATGTCGACCTTTTCTGCGTCCATTTTCCAATCGAAGCACTGCACCATTGCTCCGATGGCGGTGTCCAGAAAGAGGTAAGCCAAGTTGGATCCGGGACAAGCTCTTCTTCCGCTCCCGAAGGCGAGATACTTCAGTCCTTCTTCTCTGCTGCCCTCTATCCCTTTCGGAGATTCCAAGAATCTCTCGGGCCGAAACTGGTCCGAATCTTGCCCCCACGAGCTCGGGTCTCTCATGATCGCGTAAGAGTTGACGACCAGCATCGTGTTTTCCGGAACGTCGTAGCCTGAGACCTTGCACGGTTTTCCGCATCTCCTTATGGAGAGGTTTGCCGGTGGATGAAGCCTCAGCCCTTCCTTGACAACTGCCTGCAGGTACGGAAGTTTGGGGAGATCTGTTTCTTGAACCAGCCTTGTCTTGCCAACGACACTGTCGATCTCTTCTCTCAGTTTCTTGAAGATGTTGGGGTGGTTAATGAGCTCTCCCATCGTCCACTGTGTTGCTTGTGCTGACGTGTCAGTGCCTCCGATGAAAAGTTCCTACAGTGAAATGTTACGAATTTCAGACAACGGAATGAGATGAATATATATATATATATATATAATCTGATGAAATGAGATCAAGAATGATGATGACGTACCACCAAGAATGCTTTGATTTGGTTCCTCGAGATCTTGTACTCGGCGTTTTCGTCGTGATAAGCTTCCAACACAATATCCATCATGTCCTTATCCTCTCTGTTCGGATTCTCTTCATGGTCTCTTAGATATTTCTCCAGCAGTTCATCGAATCTTCGCGAGATATCCAAGATTTGGTTCTCGCAGAACGAAATCCCGAATCTCCTAAGCGGGCGGAGAGCGTTTTCTATGATCAACTTCTTCGACATATCAAGGGACCGGGAAACCAATTCCCTGACTCGACCTCCTTCCTCCGAAAACCTATTCCCCACAGTCATCCTCCATATGTTGTTGCTGGTGAGTTTCATCATCTCCTCGGACACCCTGATGGGCTCGTCCCTCTTCGCCTTGTCCAACAAGTTAACGCAAAACTTCTTCAGCTCTTCGCCACGCAAGTGACGGGATCTCTCAAGATGAAGCTGCCCAAGCATCTCCGCCATGACCATCTTCTTCATGAACCTCCAGTAATCTCCGTACGGGGCCGTGATGAATCCGTAAGGGCCGAAGACTATGGAGTTTTCGATGGCGAAGGGATGACGGGACGAGAAGTTCACGTCCTGCGTCCTGTACACGTCGTAGGCCACGGAGGCGGAGGACACGACGACTATGGGCATTTTGAAGGCGTGGATAGAGAGGATAGGCCCGTGCCTTGAAGAAAGCTTTTGAAGGGATTTGTGAGAGGCGATGTAAGGAAGAAGATGAAGGTGACCGATGATGGGTAGACTCGGTGGACTCGGTGGAAGACGAACGGGTCGGAACGATTCCTTGGGTTTCTTGAAGAAGAGGGTGAAGAAAATCAGGACAGAGATTAGCCATATGAGGACAAACATTGAGATGTATTGGAGCTCAAAGATGCTTGAAGCCACCATCATTGTTAATACTGTCGTGTGACTTATGTTGGTGAATGAGTGTATGAGGTTGCTGTCTTTATATAACATAAGCCACCATTTCAAAAAAAAAAAAAAAAAATGCTCGCTTCCAAACCACTTGAACACGTTCTTAAAACACCCTTTGCGGCCAGCCTATTAATTATGTGTTTTATTTTTCTAAAAAATAATAATACAAAGTTAAAGTTGACCTTTGAGGAATATAAATGATTCAAATTATATTTCGAAATTTCTATCGAAACACAGTTCGACAAAAATACAATATGAAACACGCCTTTCAAGAGTCACGAAGTTGAGAAGTCAGCAAAAACAAGCCCTTACGTCACGTCAATCATCAATGCCAAATGCATCAAATAAAACGTGATGAAATTAATATATATTCTTCTTCATCTTTTTAAGATATTAATTACAAATAATTATATCTACAAACTAAATAATCTCATGCATAATACTTTCTCGTATCTCCCTGTGTTGAGGGAAAGCTTATTGCTAGGGTTTAACATGACGAGTTTCTACATGTAATCATCTCTCAGACGCCGCTTTCTTGTAACCCAAGAAACACATGCAACTGCTACTGTTCTACCTCTACGTTTCAGCAAATCCATCACCACCATGAATACCATGGTACTGAGACAAAACCCATAAATAAAAACAGATTTACTAATGGATACGTCAATCTTCTGCCTCCTCTGCCTTTTCAGATCCTGCAGAATATATATGCTGCACAAACTGTTTATATTTTTCAGATTCGAATATCGTAATGTTTGTAGTTCTTGAAAGCGGCAGTGGTACTAGTGACATCCAATACAACGACTCTTAGCACAAGTTACAGAAATAGTCGTCATTATCTGGTAGGATAATCAAATTGTCTCAGCTGCAAACAGTTTGATTTTCTCAGATCTTTCTGAGACTGGAGCCCGACCTCTCTGTGTACTCAGACACAAGCTTTGAGAAAGAAGAACACTTGTCTTGAAGCAGTCTGGTTGGAGAGTCATGTTCCTCTATCACCCCTGCACCATTAAACAAACCAGAAACCCCTTTCAGTAGTAACTCTCTTAAATCACTACCAGTTTGAGGGGGGAAAAAAAAGGAATTTTTTGATGGTCGTGACCTTGATTTAGAAGCAGGACCATGTCACTGTCTATGACAGAAGATATCCTATGAGCGATGGTAACAACAGTACAGTCAGAGAAGTGATGTCTTAAAGTCTGCTGAATCAGATGGTCAGTCATGGTGTCCACAGAGGCAGTGGCTTCATCAAGAACCAACACTTTGCTTTTCTTTAGCAGTACCCTCCCAAGACACACCAGTTGTCTCTGACCCACGCTCCAGTTCTGCCCGTTTTCACTTACTGTGACAAAAAAAAAACGTGTTCATATTTCATATTAGCATCTACCAAAAGATCCCGACATGAATCTTTTCTTTGTCAGAGTAGTTTAAGTTTCAGACTGACCAGCAGAATCTAGCTTCCTTTCCTTCTTCCTCACTTCGTCTCCGAGTTGGCACTTGTCAAGTGCCTGAAACGGGAGAGAAACTCGGGTTAAGATTAAGAAGCATCATTGATTCAGGAGAGGAAGAACCAAAAACAATAAACAAACCTCCCAGATTTGTTGGTCGGTGTACTCTTCAAGAGGGTCCAAGTTACTTCGGATGGTGCCTTCAAACATTGTTGGATCTTGAGGTATAATGCTCAATCTAGAACGCAAATCGTGAAGCCCAATCATCGAGATATTTACTCCATCGATCTTGATTTCCCCAGCGGCAGGTTCCACAATCCTGAAAAGGGTTTGTATCAGAGTGGATTTTCCACAACCTGTTCTTCCGACGATCCCAGTTTTCAGACCACCATGGAAACTGCACGTTATTCCACGTAACACCAGCGGCAAATGCGGAGCATACCGGACCTGCATATCGATCAAAATCTGTAAAATGAAATGCGAGAATGCGCGAGGAAGGCAACCGGGCTGGAGTTTAGTTACCTGAAGATTATGGATTTTAATATCTCCGAGGGAAGGCCAGGATTGATCAGGTCGGTTTGATTCTATTACAAGAGGTGGTTCGCTAGGGATATCTATGTATTGAAGCATTCTCTCCACAGATATCATCTTGTTCTCGAGATCACAGAGCGTCCATATTAACGTCGCTTGCAAAGTATTCAGATTCAGAGCGTAAGTGACAGCTAATCCCGCGATGCCTTCAAAGAAAATGGAAAAAATTTTCAGAAGTGAAGAACAAAGAATAACAGAAGTGAGAAAGTGAAGGCCACAGATGTGATTCACTACTTGGATTGATGACTCCTTCAGGAGCCGATATCAAGAGGACGAGTGAAAGAGCAAAGGCAACTGAAGACAACAGATCGAGACGGAAGCAGAGCCATTCCATTGCACCTGCAGAATGGAACTTGAGCCGAGAATAATAATCGCTTAGTCTCATGCCATCGCTTCGGAATCTTGCTTCTTGGTCAAAGCTCCTGATTGTGGTTATCCCTGAAAGTGTCTCGGAGAAATGCTGTATCAATGGCGATCTGCTTATCCCAGCTAACCTCGCCAGTTCCCGAGCTGCAGATATATAATATTTCTGTTGTACAATATGTCGACAAATATTTGATCAGAAAACTCCATTCCATAAATACAAAGCTATAAAACGAAAATGGGTTAGGGAGAATACCCGGTACCAGACGCAGATCGCTACCACGGGGATAAAGACAACGAGGATGGGCCAAGCTACCTGACCCATCACTCCAATAATCCCGAGAATGTTGATGGCGGCGACAGCTACGGTTGCAAATTGATTCGGTAATCTCAAATCTGCAACACTTTGATCTGTCGAAGCCTGAAACGAAGATTGGAACTCAGAAAAGGAGTACAAAGAATCTGCTTTCTTCTATTCGAGCATCTGTCATTTATGAAATGAAGAACATAAAAGAAAAAGAAAAGCAAAGTGCAGATACTTACTCTGTTCAAAATTCTCCCGGTTGGGGTTGAATCAAAGAAGGACATGGGTGCTCGGAAAATGCAGAGATGCATCTGATTGAAGAGTTCAGTAGCTGTCTGAAAACCAATCATTGCAACCAAAGTTGCTCTCACGAGAATGCAGAGAGAACTGGCGATGGCTAAAGCTACATAGACCGATATCAATGTCGATCCTTTCACCGGAGACTCCTCGCCTTTAGAAACGGGAGTCACACAAGCCATCCAGTAGTTGCTTCCGATATTCAGTAACTGAAACAGAATCTGTACCAACAATATGAACGGAATGAGAGCTCCTCCTCCATACCCGAGAGTCAGATACTTTCGGTACACATCAAACCCAACTCTTCCTTTCTCCCTCTCCTCTTCTTGAACTATTTGCCCCGATTCTTCCTCTCGGTTTTCTTCATCATGTGACAGTTCATTTTCTTTACTCGCGGTTGATTTAGCGGAAGAAGATACTGTATCATCAACGGCAGCTAAGGCTTGACTATGAGCTCCTACAAGTTCCATAAAATCAGTTCCCGAATAGAGAATTTCGTCATACTTCCCTGCTTGTGTGATGCTCCCATCTTTCATGACCTATCGAAATTTACGTAAGTTAAAGCGGTAACGAAACATATATCGGCAGAAAGATATTTCTGAAGCAATGGAGGATCAATTTACCAGAATAAGATCAGCTGCAGGTAGGAATTCAACTTGGTGGGTTACATATATGACTGTTTTGCAACTCAGAAGCCCCATCAAAACTCCCTGTTACAGAATCATAATAATGGTAAAACATGAAATTATCATATAATCGAAAGGACACGAGGAAATAAACGAAAAAAAAAACCGTTTAAACCTTGAATAGATGGGATCCAGTATGAGCATCAACAGCACTAAAAGGATCGTCAAAGAGATAGATATCGGCATTTTGATAGAGAGCACGTGCAATCTGTATCCTTTGCTTCTGTCCACCGCTCAGATTGATACCCCTTTCCCCGATAACCGTCTGATCCCGAAATGGAAGTATCTCCAAGTCACTCTTCAGTGAACATGCTTCAAGAACACTTTCATACAACTCTCGATCCATTGGCTTTCCAAACAGAATGTTCTCTTCGACTTTACCGCTCTGAATCCATGGAGATTGTGAAACATATGCCTTTGTCCCGTAAACCTTGACGCTTCCAGATAGCTTGGGTACTTCACCTAGTATCGATGCAAGCAAGCTTGATTTCCCCGAGCCAACGGTACCACAAATTGCTACTTTCATCCCTTTAATCACTCTGAAGCTCATGTCGCTTAATGTCGGATTAGATGAAAGTCCATCCCAAGAGAAAGAAGCGTTGTTTACTTCTACTGCAACATTACAACTTCTTCCACTTTCTGGAAGCTTTTCCACAACATCTCGCTGTAAATCATCTAGACAAAGGAACGATGCAATCCTATTCAGAGATACCTTTGTCTGAACAATCATTGAGATCGTGTCAGGAAGTTTGTAGATCGGATCTTGCAGAATCCTGAAGGTTGCAAGAGCTGATAATATCTTCCCTGATTCGAGGGGAATGTTTATAAGCATGCAAGCACCAAAAGCGGCTGCTGACACGAAAGATGGTGCAGCCCATAGCACAGAACTGATAACAGCAGAATTGTAGACGAATCTTTTGAGCCATCCTGCCTCGATCTGCCTAAGCTCGAGAATCTTGTTAAGAAACTTCATCTCCCAACTCTGAAGTTTGAGAATCCTCATGTTCAGTAAGATCTCTGATGTTTTTCTCATCCTCTTGTCTTTGGATTCCATCAAATTTGACTGGAACTTCTCTTCTAATTTCGCAAACGGGAAATTTGCCAGCATAACCATAAAAGTTGCAGAAAAAGCTGCAATGGACCCTAGCCCGAGGCTTCTGTACAATATCAACAAGGCCAAACTGACCTGTAACATAAGTATCCACGGATCATGCATATACCAACTAAAAGCACTGATTCTCTCGGCATCTACTGTCATGAGATTTATGATCTCCCCGCTCGTATGTCCCTCTTTGGAATGGCACGGAAGGGTCAAACCCTTGTCATAGATCATCGAAACCAGGACCGATCTCATCCTGATCCCAGCTTTTTGGAGCCTAAAGTACCAGTTCCTCCGGGATTGACATTCCACAACTTTAGCAACAAAGAAAGTTGTCACTAAAACACACCCTTCATTCTGGTACCGTCTCCGACCATTCAGGTACTGGACAAAGGTATCCATGAGATAGGGTGCGACATAGCAAGACAGCGTGTAAACAAAAGCAAACAGAGTTGACAGGACAATATCTCGCTGTGCCGAGAAGAAGAGCAGCTTTATGAGCTTGAACATGGTCATTCTACCAACATCCTCTTCAAGCTTACTTCTACAATCCTGAAACAGCTCCTCTGCTCTGTCGCTTCTGTCGAGCTGAGGAACATCCTCCGCGTCTATGATTTTCTTGTTCCCAAGGTCGATCAAAGAGCTCATCCAAGAGAAACTCACATGGCTTAGAATCCTGGCTTTTGCAAAAGGTGTAACCTTTATGCTATTCCTCTCATCGCTGGTTTCAGCGCAGTTCAAGAGCGGATCCTCAAGAAAGTTGCTACTTTCAGATTCGATTTTCCGCAGGAAGCAGACATAACACAGAAACAGTCCAGCAGTAACGCCCGCCACATCAGACACTAGTGAAAGATAAACTGGTACTACCACTTCATGTCTCCTGTATAGAACAATGTCTGCCACCAGACTACAGCAAGAAACAATGAAATAGAAAACCCACCAGAGTCTAAGCAAAAAAGGAAACTTTTCCTTGCTAGAATCGGGGGATAGGCTTTTCAAGTAGATAGAAATGGCTGCCCAAGCAATGGCTTCCAACAGAAAATCCAAAAGGTTGGCAAGTTTACTGTGAAGCCAACCGTTGCTATGCCAGTAGTAGTAACTCAACAACGACAACAACACGAGATTAAAGACAGACAAAGTGACACAAAACATAAAGACTGTCTTATTGTATGTGGAAGATATGGTCTTGTTAAACCTCGCATCCTCTGAACACTTCCCCATTTTCTTAGACACCCATGAACCAAACAGGACCAGCAACAGAAGCAGATGCAAGAAAATGGAAAACAGAGGAAGGTAAACGAGCTCGAGGAGAGAAAAGCCAGTAACTTGATGCATTTGAGATTGGTACAGGGAGAACCATACAGTCCAAATACCATTATCCATTACAGAAATCTCTTTCCTGGTGATTTTAGGAACCGATGCTGATGAATAATGTCCTCATTCCTTCGTGAACTGATTGTATATGGAAAATGAGGTGGTCAATAAATAATAGAGAAATGAGCATTTGATTGGTGGGCAAGTCTATTTTTAAGACGAAGTGATATGAAATCGAGTTTCCAGGAAAAACATCGGCTAAGGAAATTAGATTAAATAAATTCCACTACCCCACATCTCGCCCACTATTTCGAGCTTTCCTCCACATTCGCAGAAACTCCTCTGAATATTCTGCGATTAACTTTGGAGACTTCTTCGAATCCATCCAAAAGACCTTTGATTTCTTGGAAAATCCTGCTAAAGCTGAAAACTTGAGAACAGAGAATATGTTAAACAAAGACAAATTCGAGAAACCCAACCGAAGATTGTTATCAAATTTCATTCCCAGAAAGAAGAAAAGAAGAGGATTTATCAAAAACCCAACCGCCCCAGTGGCGAATTTGACATTAAGAAACCCGCAAGGCGAACTGAACAGAGCAAAGAAATCGAAGGTCTTTTGGATGGAAAATCCTGTTAAATAAAGACAAATTTGAGAAACCCAACAGAAGGTTTTATCAAATTTCATTCCCAGAAAGAAGAAAAGAAGAAGATTTATCAAAAACCCAACCGCCCCAGCGGCGAATTTGGCACTAAGAAACCCGCAACGCGAGCTGAACAGAGCCAAGCCCTGAGAAATGAGAACCCTAATGGAGGCCGCGAAAAAGGCTCTGCTTTTATGATTCCACGGGACTGGGCAAGGGCGAAACCCTAACCATGTCAAGCTTCAAATCACCTTTCGTTCTCTCTCTGTTAAACCTTTTTGCCGGAGAGACGAAACGTTTAGATTTTTTTTTTTTTTTTAATAGGTTATACTATAATAGTAATGTAGGAGTCGTTCAACAGATATACGCAAAGAACTTATGAAATGTCCTCTGCATGTTATGTTCCATAGATTGAGTAGGAGAAGAAAAACGACAACTTTACCTTAACAAAAAAAAAACGACAACTTTATTTTTTTATATTACATAATCAGACCACACCGATATATGAGATGTCTGGTCCATGGTCAAACCCGGAATCTTGTCGAGCTTCACCGGGTTCTCCTTCCCACCGATCAATCTCGCCGGATTTCCGACCGCCGTCGTCCTCGGCGGCACGTCCTTGAGTACCACCGACCCAGCGCCAATCTTGGCTCCGTCTCCGATCTTGATGTTCCCCAGAATACAAGTCCCCGCTCCGATCAAAACCCCGTCTCCGATCTTCGGATGACGATCGCCGCTCTGTTTTCCTGTTCCTCCAAGCGTCACGTTGTGGAGAATCGAGACGTTGTTCCCCACAACCGCAGTCTCTCCGATCACTACGGCCGTCGCGTGGTCGAGTAAAATCCCGTGTCCGATCTTCGCGCCCGGGTGGAAGTCGACGGCGAAAGATTCCGACACTCTGTTCTGGATAAGCAAAGACAAGATTTTCCGGTCCTGAGACCAGAGACTGTGAGCGATTCGATGCGCTTGACATGCGAGGAAGCCCTTGAAGTTAAGGAAGGAATGGACGTAGCTTATGCAAGCCGGGTCTCGTTCCTTGACCGCTAAAAGATCGCGCTTCACGGATTCTACGATTTCTGGGTCTTCTTCAAGAACGCCGACGAACAGATCGAAGAGCGTGTTGCTGGGTAAACTCGAATTGCTGAGCTTAATCGAGAGGGTGTTCGCCAACGCGGTCTCCAAAGATCGATGACAAAGAATCGAAGTGTAGTAGTAGCTCGACAAAATGGGTTCACGCTCGACGTCGGATTTCGCTTCTTCTCGTATCTTGGTCCAGACATCGTCGATTTCGGCGTCTCGATCGAGATCGCCGACGAGCGGGCGCGGGAGGAGGGTTTTCGTCTGGTTCCCGTTCGAAATCCGATCGGAGAAATTGGGTCGGAAGAAATTCAAGTAACAGAACCTTGAATCATCGTCTTGAGACCTCTTTGGATCGCAAGAAAGCTGGGTTTCTCCAGTTCTGGACGCGTAGATGCAAGCCGACATGAGAGCAGATGAGGTCTCGAGGTTATATTTTCTGGAAGGAGAAGAAGAGAGAAGAGCATGTCTTTTGCCGGAGAAGACGAACGGATCTTATATAGAGAGATAGAAATGGCGGTTACATGTGATGTGACCGGCAACATGGGAAGTGGAATTTTCTCGGGAAAAAAAGGATTTTTTTAATGCCGACAGATAAATGGAAGAAGTAACGATGATATAGCGTATAGTACATCATATTTTGTATTAATTTTTACTCGAACGGATAAATAAAGTGAAATCAAAATTTGGAATTCCATCCTAACTTTGCACAGATCGGTCGAGCATCATATCGAATTAAAGATTATTTTATATTGATATCTATTTGTTTTTTTAAAATTTTATTTTATATAAAATGGTTATTGATGTCTATTTGTTTCTTTAAAATTTAATTTTATATTTAAATTCAACTCCTCCGGATGGTCATGCATGCTGGTGAACCAAGATTCTTCACATGTTTTTTGTGCCACCTACTTATGCTTATCATCAACCTATGAATATTCATTTTATATATATATAATGTTTTACCCACAAAACCCAAAAAAAAAACTCAGGAAATTAATCAGTTGATTTATCATTTATATACAATATGCATTACACATTGCAGATGTTATATCCATAAAAAAAAAGGAAGTCGTATGAACAACAGCGTTAAATATGGATGAAGAAAATTGGTGCTACGAAATTTCACAAACCCAAACTTGGAGATAAAATTTAGGAATAATCATTAAAATCGGAATTCCAAGCACTTTCGTGTATATATATAGTCAAAAGAAAATCGGACCCTACAATGTTAGTAATTATTTTCCGGGGTAAATTGCAAAAGAAGGTGACGTGAGCAGTGACGTGTCATTGCTCGAGAATCTTTGAAGCAGCCGTCCTTTGACTTGATGACTTCCCGAAACCCGAAGTTCACTGAATCTAAGTTTAGTAACATAAGATTATTGAAATCTCAATTCTGAATAAAAAGTGGGATTACATTTGTTTTAAAGGAATTTGTGATATCTCATCATCGGAAAATAGAAATCACGGGAGTTTAATTTCGAATCTATTTAGTAAACTCAACTTATAGTGTTCATTGCAATAACATCATCGCTGCAGTTACAGATTTGATTCGTAATTTGGCACGTTGCTCAAGTATCACAGAATAATAGCATTAGTCGACGACAAAAGCCATATATATATATATATATATATATATGAAGAATTCGTGTAAAAAAACATTACTAGTGTTTCTAAATGCAATAAAGAAAATCACACACACACACACATATATATATATATATGTGTGTGTGTGTGTGTTGAAGTATATGTTAGCATAATTTAATATGACATAATCAGAACAAGACTTGATTAGGTTAGAATCGTTTTCGCCTTTTGTTAGTGACTGTTGTTGTATGAAATCATAAAAATTATATTTTTTTTGCCATTAATTGGAGACACAACCATTGAAGGGCACATCACAAAATGTCACCACGAGGCACCCTCCAATTCCTTGAGATTCAGACATTGCTGAAAATTGGCACTTCCTCTTTTGAATTTGGGGTATTAACTTGTGCTATTGTTTATTTTTTTTCTCCGACAATCAATTAGTTTAGTTTTTTTTTTATATATATTTAATCGTGACTAAAAGAAAATCAATCGTGGTTTAGCCAGGAAATAAAATATATCCAAGTAAAGTTAATATGTTAATAATTTAACATATTTCAACTGGCCTGAAACAGTTATTAGTTTTTAACCATATCATTAGGTTTTCGATTCTAAGGGTTATATATTGAAAATGATTTCCTTTTTTCTTTTGTTACAACTAATGCAATTGAATAATATTACTTACAGAGAAAGGTGATGTAAATTATTTTTCTTCAAGTCGTGTCCTTCTTTGGGTAAAGTTACTAAAACATATATTATAAAGATGGGTGGTCATTGTCGGGAGCTCGTGAGGAATAATGGAATATGCCTTTGGATTGTGTTTCATTTTCGTGAGCAAATATCAAATTTGGCTACTCTTAGTATTATAGAATTTCAATTAGCATAAAATTTATTACCTTCAAAATGGCGAACGATAATAATAATAAATTCATTTTAGTTGGACCGTTTTAATTTTTTTTTTCATGTGCAGTCGTTGTTGAATGGCATATAATATATATTTTATAGATTAAATTGAATGATCTAATAGATTATTATACTTGAAAAAAAGGAATAATTCTCATAGGGCTTGGGCATTTCCATTCCATGATCCACAATATTTTAACAATAAAGTTGCTCTCAACGTTCCACCAACTTGATTTTTAGATCTAGTTTTGCGACATTATAATAATTAATATGTTACATATTAATAAAGCAAATTCGTATTTTTCCTTTACCCAAAGTACCAACATGTTCAAACCGAAGCCAACTAATCAAACTAAACCGAACCCAGAAGAATACTTGTACTTGCATCTGGATCTCGTCATTGGTTTATTCTTAAAAAAAGGCAGCAAAGGGTAACTAAAGATTCAAGCTTTCCTATTCTACCAAAACACACTCTTACATTTCCGTACATTATATGTTTTGGTTTGGAACAAATAAGGCATTAAAAAGGATTCAGAGCTTTACCAATTCTATGCAATGAGATCCATCCCAAACAGTTTCTGTTCATGCGAGGGAGATCGGTCTCCATCACTAAGATCTATGTGGGTACATAATATCTATTGTCCCTCAGCATTACCATTCTGGACAATATGTAAAAAAGATGTTACCTTTTGTCCCTCCCACAATGTATGTGCCTTCGCTTCAGAGCTTCACCTCAACATCTACACCGGCAGGAAGATCAAGTTGCATCAAGGAATCGATGGTTTGGGCAGTTGGGTACATAATATCTATCAACCGCTGGTGGGTCCGGATTTCGAAATGGAACCTCGCGTCCTTGTGGACGTGGGGGGACTTGAGAACACAGTAAACACGTTTCTTGGTCGGTAATGGCACCGGACCCATCGTCTTGGCATTGGTGTTTCTTGCCGCGTCAAGTATCTGCTTGCACGAGTCCTCAATGAGCGGCACCCAGTAAGATCTAAGCTTGATCCTAATCTTTTGCTTTGGCGCCATCTGCTAACAAGAAGAAGCATCGATCTTAAAGAAAGAGATCCATGATTCAGCATGAACAAAGGAATACAGAATAAGAAGATTGAAGAGGATACGCAGCAGAATAGCGTTTCTTGAATAACAAATATTCCTGATGGAACGAGTTGGCTCACGACAACTTGACACCATTCTTGCAAGAATATGCGGGATATTGAAAAATACAAAGCATCACATACAGAGAACTGCAGCATCAAATCTTCAAATCTCACTGAGTAAAGATCCTCAAGGCTTAAAACTAATTTCTACCATCTGTGGCAGCATCTGTTACAAGACTATAAAAGCATACGCTTCCACCATATTATACTAAGAAATTGGTGCTATGGCAATAAAAGCATATGGTTCCACCTTAACAATATACTAAGAAAATGAAACGGTAAAGGATATTTACTTAGCTTAGGAGGATAGCAAACTTTCCAAGGCTAAAAACAATATAGAGAACTACAAACTCAAATGCCTCATCGAGTGACATTGGAGTATTCTTCTTAGAGAGAAGACGTGGTTAGTGACATCTTATGAGGGTAGGCGAGCAATTCATGCTCACAAGCAGGGACAGACTTAAGAACAAACCATTGCAAAATTCTACATTCCGAATATTCATGGAGTACCTTATCCACCTCTGCACTGATTGAAGAAGCGCTCGGGACCTGAATTCAAACGAGAAACAATGGTCGAAAAGTGAAACGTATATGAGAGGGAAAAACCATAAAATTTTCTCAGGAACCAAACGTAAGATGTGAAAAAAGAAAGAAACTAACGATTCCACAAAAGGGGCATCCCACAAAGATCTCTGCGAAAAATCAAAGATTCCGACAACGAGGAAGAGCGAAATGCGTACCTCGGAGTCACCCGAACCGGGTTCATCGAGGATTTCGGGAGCTAGGTCTAGGGTTTCAGAAGCGGCGAAGGCCCTTAACGAGGACGACGAGGAGGGTTTAAGGACGCAGGAACTGAAGCCGCCATGGATAGAAGGGGGAATCAAGGAGTGGAAAGAGACCTTTAGTCTAGAACTAGAAGACGAAGAAGTTGGAATCAGGAGAGAAGGTAAAATGATTGAAGACAGAGAAGAAACCGCCATGGAAAATCCCAAGAAAGGACCAAGCTCTCCCCTCCTCCTTCCCGGCTCTGCTCGAGTCTATTTGATTCCCTCTTCCTTGAGCCAGTGACAGTGTTATCCAAAAACCAAGAGCCTCTACTTTTGTGGTCGAAAATTTATTTGAAACCCATATAACATAGTAAAGTCCTACTAGTCCTACCCGTTGGGCTAAAGTTAAAGATAGTATCTTGGGCCTTCAACGCATTTGGAAAACGCAAATGAATTTCTGGAGATAAAAATATCATATTATTAAGGATATGTATTGGGCCTATAAAAGATGTTGGGCCCAAGCAAGAAACAACGAGAGGCGACCCACTGAGCTCACTAAGGGAAGAAATCGCATACAATTTTCGTGTGGCAATTTCTCTCTCCTCCATTCTTTATTCCTTTTGTAAATCAGTTAGGAAGTTTTTTATTTGTTTCCTGTATAAATCCTTGTACAGATTCATTCTGAATCAATGAGAAAAATCTTTTTCAATCCCTGATATGGTATCAGAGCACTCTCTCTGATTTTTTTTCGGATTGCTTTCTTTTTCTCTGTTTATTCAATGGCGGATGTTCCAGCTGTTGCTCCTCCGAGGAATACGGTTGCTCCTGCGGCCCCGTATACTCCTGATACTGATAGTCCTTACTATCTTTCCACTTCTGATCATGGTGGTGTGGTGATCGTCACTAAACCCTTGACTGGGGCGGCTGACTATCCATCTTGGCTTCGGGCGTTCAAGATGGCTCTCGAGGGTCGGAACAAAATCGGCTTTGTCGATGGTTCTCTACCCGAACCTGCTGAGGATGATCCAACCCATCGTTTTTGGGTTCGCAATAATGCTATAGTTGGAGGCTGGATAATGAATTCTGTCGCCGAACATATTGCTCAGAGCTTGCTGTATGTGGATACTGCTAGAGACATGTGGTTGTTCCTCTCCAAGAGCTATCAACAAAGTAATGCTCCACGCAAATACCGGATTAAACAAAAGCTTCGCGATCTGCGTCAAAACTCCATGGATGTTGCCTCCTATTTTACTGCCATTTTTGCTGTTTGGAAGGAGTTCAAATCTGTTCGGGCTAATCACTCCTGTACATGTGGTCGATGCACATGTCTTCTCTCAAAACGGTGGAATGATGAAGATGAAAATGACTTTGTCATTGATTTCCTCTTTGGACTCAATGATGATTTTGAAGGAGTTCGTAGTCACATCCTTGCCTTGGATCCTCCTCCTGATCTCCAAACGGCGTACAATCTTGTGCTTCAGCAAGAGCAGCAACGCTTGATCAAGACCTCGAAACCTCTGGATTCTGCCATTTTTCAGGTTTCCTCTGCACCCTCATCCGAGGTGGTTTCTGCCGCCTCTGGGCCTAGTTTTAAAAACAAGCAGCGACCTCTCTGTACCCACTGCGGTCTTTATGGGCACACTATTCAGAAATGCTATCGCCTTCATGGCTTTCCCCCTGGGTATCGTGCTCCCAAATCAGGAAGATCAACCTCTCCTCGCTCTCCTGTTCGTTCGGTACAATCTAAACCAACGACGCATTTTGCTAACGCTGTTCCGGATTCTAATGTCTGTTCCGATGTGGAGAAAATGTCTTTCAGTCAAATTCAGGATCTCTGCTCCAAAATCTCCAATCGACTGAAGCATCCTGGTGCCTCCATCACTGAAAATGGCGCCCCTGTTTCTGATCCTGAAATCGGTAACGCCTTTCTCGTCTCTGCTTTTGTATGTAATGCTGCCTCGGTCTATGGCCAGATTCATCACTCTTGGATTGTTGACTCTGGTGCTTCAGCTCATGTTTGCTTTGACAAACATCTGTTCTCTGAGTTAATTACTATTATTCCGAGCACAGTCACTCTACCTACTGGTCTTCAAATCTCGGTCACTCAGGCTGGCAAAGTACCCTTGAATGATCATTTACTCTTGACGAATGTGCTTTATGTTCCATCCTTTACTTTTAATATCATTAGTGTCAGCTCCTTGCTTCGCAACACTAATTTGTCCTGTCTTTTCTCATCTGCCTCTTGTCTCATTCAGGAAACTTCTCGGGGCTCGACGATTGGGAGGGCTAAGCTCTTGCACAATCTGTTCTTCCTCGAGCCCGACTTCATTCCCTCTGTTCCATCTTTTTCTGTTCATTCTGTTAGTACCGATCCTTCTCTTTGGCACTCTAGGCTAGGCCACTTATCTTTTCGAAAACTCAGAACGTTGTCTGATGCTTTATCTCTGTCTAAGTGTTCTGTTTCTTCTCATTGTCGAGTTTGTCACCTAGCTAAACAACGCCATCTTCCTTTCATTTCAAACAACAATTTGTCCCAATCCCTGTTTGATCTCATTCATATAGACGTTTGGGGTCCCTTCTCCGTTCCTTCTTATGATGGATATAAGTATTTTTTGACAATAGTGGATGATCATTCTCGGGTCACTTGGGTCTATATGCTGAGACAGAAATCCGAGGTTCTGCAAGTCATTCCAGATTTTCTGACTTTGGTGGAAACGCAATACTCTCTGAAAGTTAAGGCTGTGAGATCAGACAATGCTCCGGAGTTATCCTTTGAATCCTTGTTTCGATCTAAAGGCATTTTCCATTACTATTCTTGCGTGCAAACTCCGCAACAAAACTCAGTTGTGGAACGCAAGCACCAGCACATTTTAAATGTTGCTAGGGCCTTGCTTTTTCAGGGGAACATTCCACTACAGTTTTGGTCGGATTGTGTCAGAACGGCTGTATTTCTCATCAATAGGACGCCTTCTCCACTCCTGTCAGATAGATCTCCTTATGAGTTGCTGAAACAGAGACTTCCTGACTACTCGTATCTCAGAGTTTTTGGATGTTTGGCATATGCATCTACATACAGTTCACAACGCCATAAGTTTTCGGCTCGTGCTCGAGCGACGGTTTTCCTTGGCTATCCTTCAGGCTATAAAGGTTACAAGCTTCTCGATCTTGCAACTAATACAATCATTATCTCTCGCCATGTTGAATTCCATGAATCCATATTTCCTTTCCATTCTGAGATTTCTGTCACTCCCGACATCATATTTCCAAACAATATTCTGCCATTACCTATTTCAATTTCCTCAGCCCCTGCTTCGACACCGTCACCTCCAGTTGAACCACACAGCTCTTCCCCTTCTCCTTCCTCTTCTTCTTCACAACCACCTGCTACCAGACCCAAAAGAAATGTCAAACCTCCTTCTTACCTTCGTGATTATCATTGCTCTCTTTCCAGTACACACTGTGCAGACTCTTCCTCATCTTTATATCCTATCACCTCTGTTTTATCCTATGACCGTCTCTCTTCATCATACCGAAATTCGGTTCTCAATTTTTCCTTAGAGACTGAACCCAAAACCTTCAAAGAGGCTGTAACTAATATTGCTTGGAGGAATGCCATGGAAACAGAGCTTCAAGCATTGGCTGAGAACAAGACATGGTCCATTGTGTCTCTGCCACCAGGTAAAAAAGCTGTTGGTTGCCGGTGGGTGTATCGGGTTAAGCACAAAGCCGATGGTTCAGTGGAGAGATTTAAAGCCAGACTGGTTGCCAAAGGCTTTACCCAGCAAGAGGGCGTTGATTTTTTGGAAACATTCTCCCCTGTTGCCAAATTGGTCACTGTCAAGCTAATTCTGGCACTTGCAGCTGTGAAAAATTGGTCTTTGTGCCAATTAGATGTCACCAATGCCTTCTTACACGGCACCCTTGATGAAGAAATTTATATGGCCTTGCCACCAGGTTACACATCTGCCACAGGAGAATCGTTGCCCAATGATGCTGTTTGTCGATTGCATAAGTCTTTATATGGCTTACGCCAAGCTTCACGGCAATGGTATTTAACTTTTGCTCGAGTTCTGGTCTCTGCAGGGTTTACTCAATCTCAGGCCGATCACACGCTGTTTGTTCGGCAATTCGGGAAGACATTTGTTGCTCTGCTCGTTTATGTCGACGACATCATAATCACAGGCAATGATGACAATGCTGTTCGAGCTTTGAAGGAGCTTCTCAATCAGAAGTTTCATATAAAGGACCTTGGCAGATTACAATTTTTCTTGGGTTTGGAAATTGCACGTTCTGCTAGTGGTATTGCTATCAGTCAAAGGAAATATTGTCTGGAATTGATTGAGGATGCAGGCCTTCTTGGTTGCAAACCAGCTTCTACGCCACTTGATCCGAATGTTCGTTTGACAAGGGAATCAGGGGAGCCCTTATCCGACATTACCAGTTATCGTCGGCTTATTGGTAGATTGTTGTACCTCACGATTACCAGACCCGATGTTACCTTTGCTGTACACAAGTTAAGTCAGTTTCTATCAGCACCGACCACTGAGCATTTACGAGCCGCTCAACGTGTGGTCCGTTACCTCAAAAAGAACCCAGGACAAGGCCTTTTTTACTCGGCCACTTCTGATATACGCCTCAATGCTTTTGCCGATGCGGACTGGGCTTCCTGTCCTGATTCTCGGCGATCCATCTCTGGTTTTTGCGTTTTTCTTGGTAGCTCCCTCATCTCATGGAAAGCTAAGAAGCAGACCACTGTTTCCCGAAGCAGCACTGAAGCTGAATATCGTTCCTTGGCAAACGCAACTTGCGAGCTTATCTGGCTTCGGAATTTATTGGCCGACCTTCATGTCTCTCCTTCTGGTCCTGCCAATCTATACTGCGACAACAGGTCCGCAATTTACATTGCTTCTAATCCAGTTTTCCATGAGCGCACCAAGCACATAGACATCGACTGCCATCTCGTGAGGGAGAAGCTTCAATCAGGTTTTCTCAAAATGCTCCATGTCGCTTCGAACAGGCAATTGGCTGATCTGTTCACGAAACAAGTTCAACCTGCTCTGTTCTCTGCACTTTTAGATCGCCTGGGAACTTCAAGCCTCTTCCTACCGTCTGTGTCTTGAGGGGGGCATATTAAGGATATGTATTGGGCCTATAAAAGATGTTGGGCCCAAGCAAGAAACAACGAGAGGCGACCCACTGAGCTCACTAAGGGAAGAAATCGCATACAATTTTCGTGTGGCAATTTCTCTCTCCTCCATTCTTTATTCCTTTTGTAAATCAGTTAGGAAGTTTGTTATTTGTTTCCTGTATAAAATCCTTGTACAGATTCATTCTGAATCAATGAGAAAAATCTTTTTCAATCCCTGATAATATGTATATTCACAATAATATAATATGCGGAATAGTTTCGAACAATAAAAAGCTACTGTTTCCTTATAAACCCCAGAAGAAAAAGGAGAGGAAAGACTATTATTGTATGATATGATCGAACTAAACAATGCAATATCCTGCAAAAGAAGGAATTAACAAAACATCTGTCTCTTTTATAAAACCATAAACAAAATCACGATTCCCATTTCGGGACGATTTTTGACCATACAAGTGTACTCTCTCTCTCTCGTTAAAATCATATATCATCCAAACAAGTTTTGTAGCTTTCATATTCCAAAGCAAGTGGGAAAAAGAACACACGTTATTTCTTTTCCCACCCATTGGAGTTTATGCTTCTCCAAAATTCATCCAATGCTCTGCTGTACAAGAAACTTGCCGTTCATTCAACGCCTCCACAGTCGGCCTTGGCCACGTTGTTCTTGCATCCTTCGCCTGCGTCATCATCATTATCCATAGTTACACACACCTTCAGTATCAACCGCAAAGCCCGACAGTGGTTGTTTACATATATATATAAAAATGAAATGATCATCAATCACCTTTGATACTCTCGTGAACGCTCTAGGAATTCTTTCGCTACATCTTTTCTCTCATAAGATGCTAGAACTGTTCTTATGTCAGCTGGGCTGTTACGCGCCACATCTGCATCATAACACGATTTAGAATCGCAAACTCAACTCACAAAACCAAAAAGATGGTGACTTTCAAATAGAACCAACTTCATTTTGCAAGATTGCAACAAATGCATAAACCCGTATCAATTGAATTAATACTCTTTGAGGTGTAGCTGGGACTTACATTCAAGGAATGGAATGAGGTCTAGAAGGGCTGTGTCGTCCTCCTCAAGTTTGTAGGGCTTGATCGGTACGCAATTCTCTGGCTGAAGGCTTGTTTCAAATGCATTCCCGCTGACATACAGAATCTTCTTGGGATCTCTGTTCAGCTTTGACAGATCCTGCATTTTTTTATGATAGCTACTACTTATTGTTGAAGAGTACCTGAGTACCTGAGTTTTGGACGGTCAGTGAGAAAATATATTATACACGAGTCCAATTGCTGCATACCCTAAAATGCTTTCCGTTCTCATATTTAGTAGCACCCCTTGCCAGCCGATAACGTATGTAGTGGTTCGGGTCCAACCTATCACAGACTGGAGCCACATACTACAAGCCAGAAATAAGGAGAATAAATTATTAAATGCCACCTCTCATGAAGCATAAGCAAAAACTAAAAAACAAATCCAAGAACTTACCATATCCATCTGGTCAGAATACACGACTATCTCATAGAACTTGGCAAGATGTTCCAAGAAGGCATCAACACCTGGTCTTTTGAATGTCCTCCACCCTCTGTCACGCTTTACATGGACAAAGGAGGAGAGAAAAACATAAACAATCTTACTTCAGGGACAAATTAGTTCAACAGCAGTATCTCTTGACTTAGTTATTGCTCAGATACATCATATATTCAGTCAATTCAATAAATTTAAACTAAATTTAGAGATTATTAAATTCTAGGTGGCCGCTACATATCAGAATCAATATTGATCACTACCTTCCAGTCTGTATAAAGAAGCGTCTCATTCAGATCGAGGACTAGAGTGAAGACATGTTGTTCTGCGGGATGTAAATCTGGAAGAAGTTTCTCTGAGAGAGGTTCAGTAAAACCCTAGAGTAAAGGAGATGCAATATAAGAGATCTGGAGATATCAGAAGATGACTAAGAAGATGCATAAAATTAATCCATGCTCTATATCAACGAAGAACTTACTCGAACATGTTCTTCCACAAGTGTTCTGAGTTCCAAATACATTTCAACTGCTTTCACAGGAACTGGACAAGATACAAGCAACTACATGTGATGCTAAGTCTAAAAAAGCTGCGGCAAGTAACACAGACTATCAGATGCAGAGAAAGAGGAGAGGGTAAAATACCTGTCATTGCAGCAGAATACATAAAAGCTTGATATTTCTGCGCAAGACAAAGAGACAATGTATAATATATTACTTCACAGAATCACATATTTACATAAATAATCCTTCATGCAGAAAAAGCTTATGCTGCATTAAGGCTTTTACAAAGTTCTATGACAAAGAATACTCAAGAAAGAACAAGCGCAAGTCGAAACGTAAAGCTAGCTATGAAGAGACTCTTTGCCCTATTAATTTAAGATATAGCACACATGAACAATCGATTAAACAACACAACAACAAAGTGTCAATCATCTTAAAGCTTTAAAACTTGCTAACAAGATTTAACTATAAGGACAAGCCAATCATATCGATCAAACCCGTTCACTATGGAAGTTATACAATGCAAAAAAAAAAACATCTTAGAAGAAGGCATCAAGTAAACTCACATCAATGGCCGATGCATCATCTGCTGGTGGTATCCTCTTAACAGATTCGCGGAAAGCCTTGGTCTTTTCATCCACTTCATCCAAAGTGTAAGCTGCAAAACAAATACACAATATCCATATGAACAGAACTAAACGGTTCAACCTCACTCATAATTCACCGACAAGGTCGACGATTGTTTCACATATCCGGTAATGTAACAAAGGATAACAAAAAAAACGAATTCAAATGAACTAAAACATGAGTAACTGAAGACATAACTCGAAAAACTACTGCCAATGTCATTATCATATTGCATTCACATTTCACATGAAAGGCCTTCGCAGCCGACTCGAAGCCAAGACAGTTACGTGAACACAAAGGGGGGGATAAAGAGCACACCATACGAGGCGTAACCAGCAGCAGCAGTAGCACCAGTGAGCGCGCTGACAAGTCCGTACGAGAGATACTTAAGTGCTTTCCGCTCCTTTCTCGGAGCTGCTGCCGCGGCGTCTGCTTGAGGCGGAGGAGGCGGCTGATTAGGGGGCGGAATATCGGAAATGATCGATTGACCGGCGGAGAGCCCCGGCTCCTTCGCCGTCGAATTCGAAGAAGCTGCGTCCGAAGAGAAAATCCTCAGATTCTGAGATCCATTTTTTCCTAATCTCGAGATAACGCGAGACCGAAGAACGATCGACGCCATTTTCAACTCCGATGTTTTGCCAGTTCCTTAGATTCGCGGGGGTGAAGTAGGGTTTTGACTGAGGCTCCGGAAACAGAACTGTGCTATTCTTATTGTTTGGAAGTCGGTTTAGATCCGTTCTGGTAAGCGCCAAGGATATTTCTATCCTCACCACCAATAAGAATTAAAAAAATTACATCATGGGCTTATGGTTGTTCTAGTCCTTTACAACTGGGCCTTTATTGGGTATCGTTTATCAATTTAACGGCACGAATTTTGACGTTTTCTATTTTATAAAATTCTTTTTTTTAATCGGAATAAATTCGAATTCATATGACGAGAATAAAATAAAAAAAATCCACAACGCCTAGGAAACAAAAATTAGCAAAAAGATCATCGTAGATCAATATTTATTCTTCGATTATTCTTTCGTAATATTACATTTTTTTTTTAAATTCGGTAATACTCTAAAAAATAACTAAAGAAGAAAGAAAATACAAACAAAAAAACATATCTAATCAAACTTGAAGTCAGTCTTGAACTACTCGAGCTTGCCGAAGCTGGTGTTGAGGAGAGTCTCTTCGGGCTGTCCGGCGACGATGTAATCGAGAAAGCCCTCCGTCTCGGCCTTGAAGGCTCCGCCACCGTCTCCGGAGGCGGCGGAGGTCGTCGGAGAGTCACCGGAGTTGCCAGCGAAGAAGAGAACAGCGGCGAGGAAGAGAGCGGTGGAGAGAAGGAGAGGCCAGAAATAGGACAAGACGGTGAGGAAACCGGGAGAGTAGGTGACAAGAGCGAAAGTGAGCAGAGAGAAAACGAAGGCGAAGACGATGTGGTGCTTGAACTTCAGAAGCTTCTCCCGGATCTCCATCTCCGGTCGCCGGTAAAACTGAACGTTATGAGGAAGAAGATGATCTGTTCTAAACATGTTGAAATTAACGGTTAAGAGAGAGAGAGAGAGAGAGAGAGAGAGAGAGAGAGAGAGAGGATGATAATAATACTGCCTACCATTTGTGTGTAATAAAGAAATGCTAAAGATTCTCTTTAAGAAGAAAAACGCCGAAATTTGAAGTTTATAATTTTATCCTCTTATTTTAATTTAATGGACTTATTTTTTTTATTGTATTATTGTGTATCTTATATTCATTATTAAATGTCAACAATTATAAAATATGGATTTTGTAGTCCATTTTCCCTTTTCGTCAGAACAAAATTTAAATAATTGTTTGTTTCCCAAAATTTGATATGATTAATGAATTATATATGTTTGAAAAAACATATATATTGGTTTAAAATAAGTCAAAGAAGTAAACATTTTTTCTGTGGAAAAGTAGGAGCGAAACATCATTTCATACAAGATAAAATCATTACCAATAATGATTAAAGCAGATGGGCTTTATAGTCCATCTTAGGCCCAACTTATTGGACCGAACATAGGCACGGCCGTATTATATTATCATGGTCTTATATCAATGCAATCACAAAAAATTCGAATGGCAATTTTCGTTTTTTGATGAAATATTCGAATGACAATTTTGAGACCGACATTTCATTATCTATCAAACCATAATGAAAATATTTTTATACTAAATTTTCCTAACATTATAAATTCTTCATTAATAGTTTTAATTCCTAACAATTTTCATAGAACATATTAAATTTAAACTATAATTCTCACAAATATATAAATTAAATATCAATCACTCACATAAACAAAAAGTTTATGATTGGGCTTGGGCCCGTTGGCCTTCTCCGAGTGGGTATGACTGGGTTCTTTTTGTAAAATTTAAACATCAGTCACAATTTTGTAATTAGAGTAAAATATAGGGTAAAAGAGTAAACAAGGAAAAAGGTCTGCAGTCTGCTCGCCGACCTATAACCTCACCGGAGCCTCCGGTAAAAGAAAGAAATAAACTGTGAGGAGAAGTGGGAGTTGCGGCAATGGCGCCTGATAGAGCAACTGGCGCTATTGTTGTGGCGGCGACGGTATCTATCACCTTGGCGGTGCTTTCTTACTGTTATCTGGGTTTTCGCCGCCGTTCCGGCGAGACCGATTCGCGCTCCTTCGAGAAGAAGAAGACGACGAATTGGAGGAATGGAATTGTCGATGCAGTCGGAAACACGCCGTTGATTCGCATTAATAGCCTCTCCGAGGCTACTGGATGTGAGGTTTTACTTGTTTCTCTTTATCTCGAGTCATGGGTTTGCGTCGGTTTGGTCGGCCATTTCCTCGACGAGTCGCGCTCGATTGTTCATATGTTTGTGTGTTCTCTTAGATTTCCGACAACCTGGTACTTTATTTCTGGGCTCTGGTCTTCTTTTTTATTCAATGTCCCATGTTTCCATGGAACGACGGCGTTATTTTCTTTAGGAGAACATTTAATTTATGCGTGAAAGCTGGGACCTTTTTATCTTATTTTGGTTGATTGTTCTTTGCTTCCAAGTATTCTTTCTCTTCAGAGAGCTGCACGATTTATTCAGCAACGCATGTACAAGCTACGTTTTTTCTAGCGATGTTTGTGAGCTAAATGCACTTGTTTTCCTCCGAATAAAACCCTTTTCATTGCGAGTTCAGATTCTTGGGAAATGCGAGTTTCTGAATCCAGGAGGCAGCGTGAAGGATAGAGTGGCTGTTAAGATAATTGCAGAGGTACATAGCATATTGAAAGATTTCAGCTTTTTCCGTATTGCTCGCCATTTCATCTGAGTTTCGAATACAGGTTGTTATTGCATTGTAAACCTTTTGACATTACGACTTGAAAACATCAGCTAAGTCATTGACTGTTATGCTTTCCGGAGAAAATTTTACCAGTAAATAAAATCATGATTTTTTCTTCCTTTTGTCCCGATGCTTAGGCGTTGGAATCTGGTAAGCTATCTCCAGGGGGAATTGTGACGGAAGGTAGTGCCGGGAGCACAGCCATTAGCCTTGCTACAGTTGCTCCAGCCTACGGATGCAAATGCCATGTCGTCATACCAGATGATGTTGCTATTGAAAAGGTTATCTTGTAAGAACCTCTAAAAGCATTGTTTTTGTCTCATTTTTCATGCTTGATATGCACTCAATCTGTATCCTATGTGCTTATTTTAGTCTCAAGTTCTTGAAGCCCTTGGGGCCACTGTTGAGAGGGTGAGGCCGGTGTCAATAACACACAAAGATCACTATGTCAATATAGCCAGGCGTCGGGCTGAGGAAGCAAACGAGCTAGCATCAAAGAGAAGACTGGCTACCAAAATAAATGGCCAAAACCATGTTGAAATTAACGGTTATGCGGTTGAGAAAGAGATAAAAAGCTCTGTATTCCCAGATTCAGTAACTGGTGGATTCTTTGCGGATCAGTTTGAAAACTTGGCCAACTTTGGGGCTCATTATGAAGGCACGGGCCCTGAAATCTGGCATCAGACTAATGGCAACATCGATGCTTTCATTGCTGCTGCGGGTACTGGAGGTACTTTAGCAGGGGTGTCAAAGTTTCTTCAGGTAAACTTCCTTATTTTACCAAATCAGGGCTTGATAGAAATGCTGAGGAGGGCAGTTTAGGCTACACTATGCATGTCTTTACCATCTTCTTGATTGATAGTCGGAAAGGTTTTAGCCCCCTGAGATTTTAAACTGATAAAATACTGGAAACACGGCTACACTATGTGAATGAGTAGTTTCTACTTGTTATAAACAAAATGGCTCTGAAAATTGCTGTGCTTTCAACAGGAAAAGGATCAAAAAATAAAGTGCTATTTGATTGATCCTCCTGGTTCTGGTCTATTCAATAAAGTAACACGGGGAGTGATGTACACTAAAGAAGAAGCTGAAGGGTGTCGCCTGAAGAATCCATTTGATACAATAACTGAAGGAATCGGAATCAACAGACTCACTCGGAACTTCTTGATGGCAAAACTTGACGGCGCTTTTCGTGGTACAGATAGAGAGGCTGTTGAGATGTCGAGGTAAATGAGTGTTCTCTTTTTGTTCTGCCATACCTGTTCTGTTCCGCAAAAAAAAATGATGTGCTCAGCCTTCATAATCCTCTAGGAACGGTATCTTTCTTTCTACGCCAACATTTTCGAGATCTTTATTCGGGGGTAAAGATCGATTCTTTCATTGGTGTGTTCACTGTGGAACTAGTGGTGATCAAACTGAATCAATAATCAATCAATGGGAGACTTCAATCGAAGAATCATTTTATATCCCGAGGTTCCTGACCCAATTGATTGCATGACCTTTTCAGGTTTCTCCTGAAAAACGATGGGCTCTTTGTTGGAAGCTCCTCAGCGATGAACTGTGTTGGGGCAGTGAGGGTGGCTCAGACCCTTGGACCTGGTCATACCATTGTCACCATTCTGTGTGACAGCGGGATGAGACATCTAAGCAAGTTCTATAACCCCCAGTACTTAGCTCAGTACGGTTTGACTCCAACCGCCACAGGACTAGAGTTTCTTGGCATGAAGTGAAGCATCTATATGTTTTGTCCGAGCATGAACTTCAGATTCAGCAAAACCCGGAGGAGCTAAGACAGCTATGTCCAACTGTTCAGGTTTAGAAACTTAACATATGTTCTCTTAAAACCCCATTTTGTTTTGACATAGGATGGGCATATGATTTAGAACAGAATAGGTTTTTTTTTTTGTATGGCTATTAAATACTCAAAAGAGTCTCGTCACTCTCCATTTATACTGGCTTGGCTGAATCTCACTATTTGTCGAACCGTTCTTCTGGTTTCTGTTGAATGTTTTCAGAGCCTGAATTTATATTCATTGTCAGGCCAAAAAAACAGGCAGACGTTATTGATCTTATGGGAAAAGAAGTGAGCTACATATAACCTATTATATATGCCAAACATGGGACTTGGTTGATGGCATTGGCATTGTCTTACTTCAAGTAAAGATAGGTCAAATTTATGGGTTTGAAAGATTGGTATAGACCCTGATATGAATAAAACAGCTCCTGTACTGAAATCACAGAAACTCTATAACCTTCCCATTTCTTTCATGTGATGGATATTATGAAACTCTCTTATGTGAATCTCTGTGCCCAAGTTCTTCAAAACTTGGTTGTGCCTGTGGGACCTTTTTTTTTTGTTATGGGTAAGAGACAACATAAAAAGGGTCTATGAGATGTTCTATGAGATGACAAAGTCATCAGAAGTCAACAGAAAAAGTCAAAGCTGCATTGCATGTGTGTGTCTCTGCATCTGCATTTGTCTCTTGCCTGCTACAAAAAAAAAACCTCTTTAATGCGGTTTCTGACATTACCCTTCCAAAGAAGCCACGGAGTTTTTTTTTTGTCTTTTTGAGGTTAATGTCATGGGGACATGCCATTGGGAGGGAACATGTGAGAAGCATGAAATGGGAGATGTCTTGTCATCTCAATCTCTCATGTCTTTCCATGTCTCAATGTTTTCTCTGCCATTCAAATTCTTGGTCTTGTTCAATGGATTCGGCTGTAAGGTTAACAGAGCCCATGTTCATGATTGAGAGAGAAAAACTGTTATCTATATTCATATTACTTACAAAATTTGGTACTTTTTCCGTGGAATTTACTCTTATTCTTCACATCCAGATGATGGATCCGAGTATGATACTATAAATATTTATATTTTCGATATCATGGGGTATACATTCTAAATTCTTTAATACTTCAAATTCGACTATCTTTTTTTTTTCCTGATGAACAGAAGAATGGCAGGAAAAGGAAACAAGAACACGCTATTCACCTCACTGCATTTCTCAAAGAGCACTTGTGTTCTTTTCGTGTCAATTGCAGTTTCAGTCGCTTGTCTCTCTCTCATCTATTCCCCATTTTATCTGTTTCCATTCATAATTATCGCAATCTCGCTTGTCTCGGCCCTCCTCCACATTGCCTTGTCCAACAAGAAACCCAGCTTTCATCTTCATGCAGAGGAACTTGCTCATCAAGGAACCCACACAAACTCCGAAGCCAAAGAAGAAGAAGAGGAGGAGGAGGAGGGGGAGGAGGAAGGATTGATAGAGATTGCTCTTGTAGGAGAGGCAAAAGAAGAAAAGATGAACATGGTGGAGAGATTTCTGATGATGCATGAAGAAGACGAGGAGGAGATGATGTTGATGATGGAGATGTGGAGTCAAGTTGAAGAAGACAACTTCATTGAGATTGACATTTCCATGGGATCTATTGTATCTTCCAAAGCTTAAGTATTGTTTCAAGTACTTTTTCTCTGCTAATTACATCAGTAGATTACTGTAAGATTTCAGACATCCTCAGTTTATGTTTTTTTTAAACACATACATTCTAATTAGATCCAGTTTCTTTGCACACCGTATTTTTTTTATACCAAACTGATCATTTTTACATCAATCTTATCACAAAAGGCCATCCCTTGTGTCGGTTCATTTTGAAGGGAGAGAGAGAGAGAGAGAGAGAGAGAGAGAGAGAGAGAGAGAGAGAGAGAGAGAGGAGCATGCATGGCTATGGCGTTGCTTTAGGTTCTTGGGTTTTTTCGAGGGGAAAAGCCGTGGACGGAGATTCTGACAACACCAAATGACGCCGTTTGCAGGAGTTTCAGACATTTCCAGCTTAACTCAAAACAGAAAACATCATCCTCTTTTACCTTTGCTCAAAACAGCATATGGTGTTTTCCTCTGTGACTGACGGCCGGATTTTTTTTTCTTTACAGTTCTCACAATACCATATAGGTCGATTCACCTCTACAAGCAAGCATCTGTACAACAAAAAAAGGGTTTCCTTTCTTTCACTTTCTTGGCTTAATCAGCTATAAATGGAACCCAAAGTCTCAGTAATGGATATGGTCCTGGAACTGCAGTTCTAGAGCTCCGCATCCATGGCGGGGAGGAGAAGCTCAACTTACAAGCTTCAGTGTCAAACAGATCGAATCAGACGGGCTGCAAATGCTCCGTCCAGGGAGTGTTTCATCGGGTTGGAGAAATAGAAGCCTTTCTCAGTTGCAAAGCTTGATGGTATGAATCTGCCTGCTGGATCTACCCGGAATTCCTGCCAATGCATATTCTATTCATTAACTGTAAAAACCAGTATAAAACAGGCAGGACCCTAGATGAATAGCAAGAAGGGATGCCGAAGTTTCCTCCTTTAGATTTTTTTCCTTTTTTTTTCCGTTTCATACAGGTGGCCAAGTCCAGAGAAAGCTTAAAGATTAACATGGAGTTTCTGCAGGTTTCCAACATCTAGAGCTGTCAAAAAGAGGAGACTAGTAAACGAAAAAAGAGAGAAAGGATCCTTACGGGATGTCTTTGAAGAAACATACTGATCCTCTCTTCGTTTTCTTCTGGGTCTATGGAGCAGGTACTATAAACCAACACTCCACCCGGCTTTACCAATCTTTGGAATTCCAACCAATTCAAAGTATGGATGGCATCACAGAGAAAGAAACATCAGATTATGTAGCGTTTCACATTAGGGAATTGATCATATATGATGAGAGCAAATTGCTTACTTGGAGGCAGAATCAAGTAGCTCATCCTGCAGTTTTGTGAGTTCTTCCAAATCTTCCAGCTTTCGGTTCCAGCGCAAATCAGCTCTCTACAAAGTGCAGATAAGAAAGGAAAACAGGTTGGATCCAAGCAATACAACTCACATAAGGAAATTGTCACCAAGAAAAGAGATAAATGGATTTGTGCATGTTCACCTTGGATAGGACACCAAGTCCAGAACAAGGGGTATCTAGCAAAACTTTGTCATATTGTACATCATTGGTTTCCTAAGACAAGACAAACTTCAGACAAATATAGAGTAGTACCTGAAAGTAGTACTTTTTTCCCCAAGCGGAGTTAACTTACAGCAAAGACACGAAGATCAGAATGGATGGTAGTGATAAGAGCATCAACTTGGTGAGACTTTGCTGTCTCTCGGAGGATCCTTAAACGGCCTTTATTCACATCTATAGCGTATACCATGCCTAAAAGCAAAATGAATGTTCTTCATTTGGACTCACCTCTCATAATTAACTGAAAGAAGCTACTGTGGTTACCAGTCTCAGAGTAGGCCAAAACAAGATCAAACATCCTCTACTATCGATGATAAGAATCTGTGGATAGAGTTAAGTGTTTTGATCTTTCTTAGAAGTGCTTATTTAAGAGTACACTGACTTACAAGAAAATCTGAAAGTTAGAGACTAATCAATCATAAAGAAACCTGGAACGAGTCACTGAATTGAACGAGGATTCCTAAGTTAAAGGACAACAAATCTTTGCACTGTTACCTCGGCCTTTCAAGCGAGATGCCATGTAAAGGGTCTTCCCTCCAGGAGCAGCACATCCATCCATTATTGACTCTCCAGGTTGAGGATCCACCACTGAGACAACTAGTCCTGCAGTATCATCCTCTTCATTCGTTAATTTCATTGTTACAAGGTGAAATTTCAGGCTAAAACCAAAACTCTGTGCCTGAATTTATTAAAATGTCTCTCTCAATGGTTGGAACTTGTGAAATTTCCTCAGAATTTGGTAAGACAGAGAGGGGAAGGATGTCTACTCAGCATAGTGCTACTGAGTTTAAGGAGACATTCAAAGAAAAAGAGATTGGAAAGAACCAATCTCAGTGACCAGAAGAGAGAGAGAGAGATTTAAAGAGGGAACACATTGAGGTCTAGAGAGCAGACCAAATAATTCTACAGCAAAAAACTGACCCGCACTCTCGTCCTGGACAGAACAGATGCCTTCTCTGAGTAATCCAGCTTGGACAACGATCTTGGAGAAACAAAAGGCTTATCATCAATTTCTAAATGCAACTTACGAATAAAACCAAGACATAGTAATGGAACCAACAGAAATCAGTATAATGAAAACATGGATATGAGGTAAGAACCTGTAAACCTGTTTTGATGCGAACAAACTCCTCTGAATATGAAGACAGCTCATGCGTAACCTGCAGCAAAGTAAAAGGCCCTATTGAAGCAAAAACTAAGCATTTAAAGGAAATCATTTGTGCTTGTTTTGGGTAGTACATATGGAATGGAATCCAATTCGGAGAAAGGCAAAGAAGAAGGCTTAGTTAAGAACCTTTAAAGTGTTTAGACGATTCACAAGGTCTGATCTTGTGATGCCCTTTGCATTGTTGGCCCTAACATCATCAGGAAACAATCAACTGCCTGAGACTTTTATTTCATTCCGTAAAAGAAAAATGAAGTCGAGAATATAAACCTTATGCTAAAACCAGGATTTCCATTGTTCCATGTCATTAGTTTTATGGCTTCATCTAGCCCAATATGCTTTATCCATCGTCTTACCATCCACTGGAAAATTTTAAGGAAAGCAAATGAGAATGCTTTTATTTTCCTAGCAAGAAAAAGGGCATCAAGATCGAATTTTTAGAAGGCTTGCAAGTTCAACATCTCAATTTGGTTGCTTAAAAAAGCCTCAGTTTCATATCCCAGATCATGGGAATAAGATGAATATAAAACTTACGACAGGATGTGAATAAAGTGTGGCAAGAGCACGTGCTTGGGCACGTTCATCCCCTTCCACTCTAGGCAACGGAAGGGCATCTTTTCCCTGTGGATCCATACGTCAGAATTCCTTAAGAGCTAAAATTTTACAATCAAATTTCAGAGAGGGGAAGAAAAGAAAAAAACCTTAAGAGAGACTAGCTTACGAAGAATCCCATTCACAAGATTTCCAGCACCAGGTCTAAGGGCAACCTTTGCAAGTCTCACATTCTGCAACCAAGATGGGACAAATACCAAAGAGATCGGAAAAAAATCTGTCACACAACAATGAAGGCCTCATCTGAACCTGACTAACTATGGATAAAATACACAGATGCACTTGATCTATATGGCCGTATTGGATATTCAATGTGCACGAAGACTGAAACCAGTATCCCACTTCTTTGTCCCATCATATCTATATATTCATTGTTATCGATTTATACATGGCAATAGGAAAACAAATTGACAGAAAGCTCGGACTACATACACGTCTAAAAAACTTTTCCTAGAGCAAATGAGTGCACACACATACAGTCTTAAACAAGAAAAGACAGGGTCATACCTCATCTACAACAGCATACGGTGGCATATCAAGCTTGAGAATCTCATAGAAACCAATGCGGAGAATCTACAACATGGATTGAGGTTTATAGACCATATTCCTGGAAGTCTGTAATGTGTTAAGATGGCCAAGATTTTCTGAAAGGGAAAGATACCTGCAACAAAAGAGGTTCCATTCTACGAAATGTGCTTTCATTTTGGCAAAGCGAACCAATCAAATGATCAAGATATCTCCTCCACCGTATCGTTCCTCCAACTACATCAGTAACCTATTATTTGCAGACAAGGATTTGAGAGGTTTTAAAGCTGCATCAACCATGAAATTATAGCCAGTGTATAGCATAGATATGCTCAGTCTTCTTCAATTCTTTCCAATAAATGCCTAGACATCTTGGATAAAGTAAAAGAAGGAGACTAACCAGTCTAAGATCCCGATCATCCAAATCACGAGTTCGAAAACCGAGAGTACTTTCGACATATCTCATCTCATTGCTGCCAGACCCTTTTCCTTTCTCATTCAAAAGATCAGCAAACGCACCTCCAAGCTCAATTCTCATCAATCTAACTGCAGATACTGTATGGGTACCATAAACCAACAAATAAAAACTTGATAAGATACTGTACAAATCAATGTACTGAGGACTGAGGTGGCCAAAATCGTGTTCCAGAGATCTCGAACTCAAGAACAGATGCCGATCAAAAGAACTCAGTTTCACCCTAAATTGTCAGTGTAATATTGATGTTTGGCTGTGAAATGAAAAAAAAAAAACAACGAAACAAGAAATTCAAGCATTCAATTGCAAGCTGTAAAGAATTTCATAACAAATTCGTGTCTAAAGCGACGGATTCTGCAAAGAATTACCAGCTCTATGAGGAGAGACCTCCGAATTCAGCTTCTGGGTTTCGCGCACCGGAACAGAAGCACCTATAGACGACGTCATTTCCGAGTATAACACACAGATAAGTGGAAAAAACCAGGCGAAGAACAACAAAGTTCACAAATTTCAGTGTCTTCCATTTCATTCATTTTCTCGGGAAACAAGCAGAACCCATTACCATTTTTAGAAGTAAAAACGGATTTTTTACGCTTTGGTGATCGCCTCAGCGACTCTGGAGAAGCTTTCTGGGTTTCAGCAGAGAGATAAACCTGAAAGGAGAGCAATTGCGCCATGGATGCTACAGGGTCCGCTGCGAGCGCTACCAGGGTTTATCGTAAAATGACACTTATACTTCTCGAGGGGCTTTCGAGTTTGTCAATATAAGTTGTTCTAAAAAGATAACATTACTTTGAGGTGAAAAAAAAAACAAGCCCTGGGAAGGAAAAAAACAGAGAGAGATTGAGAACGTTTTATGCTGCTCTCACGCTTGCTGATACAGAAGATGTAGCCGTCTCCGTTGAAACTAACTTGGGAACCCACATCGCCATGGCGGTTCCTCTAGATATCACCGCAGGAGATTCCAAGCGCAAGCTAAAGTCCCAATAAAGAAAAGAACTTTTTCTTATGATCTATGTCAAACTTCCTCTTGCAATTGTAAAGATGAAAGCTTTGCCCCATCATCATCATCTTGTAGTTTCTCAACCATCAGTCAGAATAGTTCAGGTTATGATCCCTCGAGGACCGTTTTCATAGTCTTTCGGCATTGTATTGATACCATCTGCATCACTGCATCATGGGTTTTGCTTTCAATCGTGTCTTGGTGCCTTGACTTTTTTATCGTTTTCCATATGCTTCTGGACATGTACTGTGCTTGCCTTGTTCTCTCAAGTATGGATGCACATCTGCGTGAAAACATTTTAATTATTACAGGAAACGTCGAGAAGACACATGCGTCCTTCAAGTGTATTGTCTGATGGTAATGGATAAGAGCAAGTGATTTCATTTTCTGTCATAACCACATTAGATCTCGTTTGGGTCAAGCCATTTGCTTTTAATTGATTTGGTTTCTACTTCTTAACCTCTTAGTAGGTCAAATCTCTTGCTGTCCAAAAGGCCTGGTTTGTTGTATAAGCCTTACCATTGAAGAAGGCACAATCAGTTTAAGCAATGGTAAAGGTGGAAAACAAGAAATCTCTGCCCCGAACCTGTCCCAGAAACAGATATTTGAACCTGGAGAGCTACAAGAAAAGAGTAATCTGCTCTCGATTTCTGCAATGCTTGAATCTGGTGCAAGCCTGCCCTGACAAAAGAAGGGACTTCGACTCTGAAACCATCACCTCCATTGTCAGTAGCAGAAGCTCAGAGACAGTGACCTCACTCTCTCTCTCTCTTTTTTTTTGTTAAAACACTCTCTCTCTCTCTCTTGCGGTCTCAGATCAGGTTTCAAGAAACTTTCAAGCTAAAACATCAGCAAATCAATGTCGTGAGTTTGTGAACAAACTGAAACAGAGAGTGAAAGAGTAGAGACAGGTTCAGATTTCTTCTACTGCTATCATCTATTTGCAGAAGTGAGACTGCCAAGAAGAAGAAGCTTCTGCTCTGACTTCAATCCAAGATAGATGCGTCTCTTTCCATGTTTCTAACCTTTCAGATACCAGAGACAGAGAGAGAGAGAGTTAGGACTGAGCCTCGAGCTCTCCCTCCGTGTACGCGAATGTATGTATACGTGCATGCGTATGTACATGTCTTGATGAGACATGCAGCAAGTGATTCTTTTGTACAGTTTCTTGAGAATGTCGAAAGAATGAAAGACATTGGCTTGTGATTCAACAAGCACCCATGGTGATGTGTGTTTTCTGATTCTTTGTCTCCTCTGTGTTTCTTATTTGATTCTTGCAAGAGAAACATGCAGAGGAGATTCAAGGAAACAGGGGTGAAGGAAGGAATCATGCATCTTCTTCTTTGGCTTTCCCCCACTCTTTACCATTTATGCTTTAGATAATTGGCGTTTTAAACACACTTAATTATTTCCCTGTTAACCCAAACTTACACGTGTAGCTATTGCAGGAGTAAATTAGTGCATTAGTTAAATTAATTTATATACATGATATAAATTATTCTATAGTATTAGTTATTTTCTCGACGACCAAGATTATAGATTGAGATAAAAAGGATGTTATTATTATCATGATTATTATTATTATTATTATTATTATTATTATTATTAATAAATAATTTATACTTATAGACGTCACTGGAACATATTTTCTTCAGCGTTTAATAGTGTCGGCCCTTTAGGCGTTTTCTCTTCCTCGCACGCGTGTATCTTAGCATTCTTCGTCTTCTTCTCTCTCTAATCCCTCTATCTGCGATCCTCGTCAAAACCCTAGTTTGGGATCGCTTGAGACTGGGTAATTCCCAATTCTACTGCTGCTCCGTTTTCTCTGAGTCAGCGATTCGCTATAAGTGCGCAGGACCAGCACACCGTAGATAATTTGATTCGCTGCTTCTCCGTTTCGCAACTGATCAGTGATCATTCACTTTTCTACCGGTTCCTTGTTCAATTCTCCTTTGCGTTGAGGATTGACCGACGCTCAATCGCGGGTTTTCTTCGGGAGATGCTTTGTGTCTCATCATGAAGCTCAGAAAAAGACGGGCTTCTGAAGCGGTGAGTGTGTAATTTGATCATTTATATTCTTTGCTTGTATTTATGCATTTGAGCGTACATGTATTTTTGTGTAATATAGATTATTGAATAGGCTTTACTCCTATGCCTAATTGATTGGTTTTTCCTTATTTTCTCTTGGAACTAGTGACCGCTCAAGGAACTAGTATTCGTTTCCGTGACTATTCTTTCTTTTACGCAGAAGGGTTTTTGGTGTGGAAATTGAATTGAAAGTAGAAGCTTTTGATGTATCAGTTGCTATAGTTTTTCAGTCGATCTCTGAAGTTTTCGTGTGTTGATTGGAATTATGTTCATGCCTTGTTTGTTTCTTGGGGGTAATTGTTGTAGTGAGGCTGCGAAGTTTTGATCCTTTAGGCCGAGATGCATTGATGATGGTTATATAACAAAATGTATGTTATGTTTAATGTTGTTTTGGCATGTCTTTGGTGCTCTGAATTTTCACTGTTCTTTGTTTCTAAATCTTCTGATGTGTTTGATTCTGTTGTCTCTTGTGTTGTATTATGCCTGAGTTGCTGAGCGTGTTTTGCTTCCTTCTCTGTCAGCCTCCCACAATCAGATCTTTCATCAGCAGCGTTACTGCTGTTCCGCTCGAGCAAATAGAAGAGCCTCTTAAATATTTTCGTTGGGAATTCAATAAGGTATCTCATATGGCATTGCCCTCAGCCGGCTTCTTTTATTATATCTGTTTTGTGCTCTGATTTTTTATCGTTTCTCCTTCGTTCAGGGTGACTTCCATCACTGGGTGGATCTCTTCAACCATTTTGATACATTTTTTGATAAGCACATAAAACCAAGAAACGATTTGCACATTGAAAATAACTTTTTGGCTTCTGATCCTCCTTTCCCAAAGGAAGCTGTTCTGCAAGTCCTCCGAGTTATCAGAATAGTTTTAGAGAATTGCACGAACAAGCATTTCTATAGCTCTTATGAGGTACGTCTGTACCAGAATTCCTTGAATCTCTTCTGATTTGCATAGTTCCTTGCCTTTCAATTGATGTGACAGCGTGCTTATGTTGATCAATTTGCCTCTTCCATGTCTCATGTTTCTGTTTGTTTCAGTAGATAAGTCAAATCAATTCCAGTTATTGGAATGTCTATCCACATCCTTCTCATAGTTGTGTTTCCTTCATAATTTGCAGCAGCATCTTTCCCTACTGCTTGCAACCATTGAAGAAGGCACAATCAGTTTAAGCAATGGTAAAGGTGGAAAACAAGAAATCTCTGCCCCGAACCTGTCCCAGAAACAGATATTTGAACCTGGAGAGCTACAAGAAAAGAGTAATCTGCTCTCGATTTCTGCAATGCTTGAATCTGGTGCAAGCCTGCCCTGACAAAAGAAGGGACTTCGACTCTGAAACCATCACCTCCATTGTCAGTAGCAGAAGCTCAGAGACAGTGACCTCACTCTCTCTCTCTCTTTTTTTTTGTTAAAACACTCTCTCTCTCTCTCTTGCGGTCTCAGATCAGGTTTCAAGAAACTTTCAAGCTAAAACATCAGCAAATCAATGTCGTGAGTTTGTGAACAAACTGAAACAGAGAGTGAAAGAGTAGAGACAGGTTCAGATTTCTTCTACTGCTATCATCTATTTGCAGAAGTGAGACTGCCAAGAAGAAGAAGCTTCTGCTCTGACTTCAATCCAAGATAGATGCGTCTCTTTCCATGTTTCTAACCTTTCAGATTTCCCTACTGCTTGCATCAACGGATGGAGATATCGTTGAAGCTTGCCTGCAGACTTTGGCTGCCTTTTTGAAGAGGCAAACTGGAAAATACTCCATAAAAGACGCTTCACTGAATTCGAAGCTATTTTCACTTGCGCAAGGTTGGGGAGGAAAAGAGGAGGGTCTTGGCTTAACTTCATGTGCTACAGAAACCGGTTGTGATCAGATCTCTCGCCAGTTAGGTTGCACCCTTCATTTTGAGTTTTATGATTCAAGTGATTCATCAACTGAACTTCCCGAAGGTTTACAAATTATCCATGTACCTGACGTCAACTTGCATTCAGAATCTGATCTGGAACTTCTAAACAAATTAGTTTGCGACTACAGTGTTCCTTCCAGTTTAAGATTCTCCCTGTTGACCAGATTGAGGTTTGCTAGGGCATTCTGGTCTCTGGCGACACGGCAGCAGTATACGTGCATCCGCTTGTATGCCTTCATTGTTCTTGTTCAGGCAAGCAGTGATACCGACAACGTTGTTTCGTTCTTTAATGAAGAACCTGAGTTTGTCAATGAGTTAGTTACACTGTTAAGCTATGAGGACATTGTTCCAGAAAAAATGAAGATATTATGTTTGCTTGCCTTGGTTGCACTGTCACAAGACCGAACTCGTCAGCCTACTGTTTTGACTGCGGTAACATCTGGCAGGAATCGTGGCATGCTATCTAGCCTCTTGCAGAAAGCTATTGATTCTGTTACTCATAATACTTCCAAATGGTCTTTGGCTATTGCGGAGGCCTTATTATCCCTTGTTACGGTTTTGGTTTCATCATCATCCGGATGCTCGGCCATGCGAGAAGTTGGACTTATTCCTACCCTGGTGCCGCTGATCAAAGATACAGATCCTCAGCATTTGCATTTGGTCTGTACAGCTGTGAGCATATTAGAAGCCTTCATGGATTACAGCAATCCAGCTGTTGCACTTTTCAGGGATTTGGGTGGCTTAGATGATACTATCTCTCGATTGAAACTGGAAATCTCTCTCACAGAAGATGATTTAAAAGAAAATGGTGGGGGTTTAGATGGTAATGAAAGTGGTTCACAAGGTGTTACTGGTTCTCTTGTCGGGGGTTCTCATACTGGACAAATCCCCTACTCTGATGTGTCAATTTCGTACAACAGGAGATTGTTTCTGAAAGCCTTGTTACGTGCCATATCTCTTGGAACTTATGCACCCGGGAACACCACTCGCATCTATGGTTCTGAGGAAAACTTGCTGCCTGAATGCTTAGTAATTATGTTTCGGAGGGCGAAATATTTTGGTGGTGGAGTATTCTCGCTTGCGGCAACTGTCATGAGTGATCTTATCCATAAAGATCCTACTAGTTTTCACACATTAGATTCAGTTGGTATCAGTTCCGCCTTTCTTGATACTATCTTGGATGGGGTTATTTGCTCTGCAAAGGCGATAACATGCATTCCTCAATGTCTTGATGCATTGTGCCTCAGCAACAGCGGCCTTCAGGCTGTAAAGGACCGTAACGCCTTGAGGTGTTTTGTCAAAGTATTTACTTCTAAATCGTATTTTCGAGCTCTCACAGGCGATACACCTAGTTCTTTGTCAAGTGGGCTTGATGAACTCTTACGACACCAATCTTCATTGCGTACGCATGGAGTTGATATGCTCGTTGAGATCCTAAATACCATATTGAAAATTGGATCTGGGCATGAGGCTACGACTTCTATATCAACGGACGTGCATGTTGGTACTACACCGGTTCCTATGGAAACTAATGTGGATGAGAAGAGCTTGGCTGTATCAGAAGAGGCGGAATCATCTTCTGATACTATTTCAGCGAACATTGAGGAATTTCTGCCAGATTGTGTGTGTAATGTCGCTCGTCTTTTTGAAACAGTTCTCCAGAATGCTGAAGTATGTCGGCTATTTGTTGAGAAGAAAGGGATTGATGCTGTCTTGCAGCTTTTCACTTTGCCTCTGATGCCTGTATCTACCTCTCTTGGTCAGAATTTCTCGGTTGCTTTTAAGAACTTCTCTCCTCAGCATTCAGCTTCTATGGCCCGAACTGTGTGCTCATACCTAAGAGAACATCTTAAGCATACAAATGAACTTTTGGTTTCAATTGAAGGGACTCAACTTCTTACGTTAGCATCAGTGGAACAAACTAAAATTTTGAGATCTCTTTCCGGTCTAGAAGGTATGTTATCCCTCTCCAGTTTTTTGTTGAAGGGAACAGCTTCAGTCGTGTCTGAACTGAGTGCAGCTGATGCGGATATATTGAAATATCTTGGACAAACATACATGGAAACAATTTGGCAGATGGCATTGTATAATGATTCCAAGGAGGGTGAAAAGAAAGGTGTTGATCAGGAAGCCAATAGTTCAGTTGCAGCTTCATCTAATGTCGTTGCAAGAGAGAGTGATGATGATTCGAGCAATGCTTCCACAATACGATATATGAATCCGGTATCTGTTAGAAGCAATAATTTTCAGTCTATTTGGGGCGGGGATCGTGAATTCCTTTCTGTTATTCGCTCAAGTGAAGGTATTCATGGTCGTACTGCTCATGCAATAGCCCGCAGGATTCGTCGGCACCTAGAAGCTTTTAATTTCAGTTCAGAGATCCCACCTAATCTACCAGAAACTTCATCTTCCCAGACGCTGAAAAAGAAAAGCACTGATGTTCTCATTATTGAGATTTTAAACAAGCTCAATTCGACACTACGCTATTTCTTCACAGCTCTCGTGAAAGGGTTTACCTCTCCCAATCGCCGCAGAATTGATGGAGCAACATTAAGTTCAGCATCTAAGACTCTAGGTATTGCACTAGCTAAAATGTTTCTCGAAGCTCTTAATTTCCAGGGCTATTCTGCTGTTGCTGGCCATGATATCCCTCTATCAGTAAAATGCCGATACCTTGGGAAGGTTGTAGATGACATCACTGCTCTGACATTTGATACTCGGCGCCGGACCTGTTTTACAGCAATGGTGAATAGTTTTTATGTTCACGGGACATTTAAGGAACTTCTCACCACCTTTGAAGCTACAAGTCAGTTGTTATGGACATTACCGTTCAATATTCCTGCCCATGGCATTGAGAATGAAAAGCCCAAAGAAGGGGATGGATTATCTCACAGCTCGTGGCTGGTCGACACACTGCAAAGCTACTGTCGAACACTTGAATATTTTGTGAATTCTGCATTTCTGTTATCTCCAACCTCTACTTCTCAGATGCAGCTGCTAGTCCAGCCAGCTTCGGTGGGTTTGTCGATCGGTCTCTTTCCTGTTCCCAGGGAACCAGAAGCCTTTGTGCGAAATCTGCAATCTCAGGTTCTGGATGTCATTCTACCTATTTTGAACCACCCTATGTTTCCAGATTGTAATCCTAATTTTGTAGCTTCAATTACTGCCCTCGTAACACATATCTACTCTGGTGTTGTGGACACGAGGCAAAATCACAGTGGTATTTCTAGGAGTTCAAACCAAAGAGTCTTACCCCCGCAGCTTGATGAGGCTACTGTTGCCACGATCGTTGAAATGGGATTCTCAAGGGCAAGGGCTGAAGAATCTCTGCGACGGATTGGAACCAACAGTGTTGAAATGGCTATGGAGTGGTTGTTTAGTCATCCTGAGGATCCTGTGCAAGAAGATGATGAGCTGGCTCGAGCACTTGCACTTTCTCTTGGAAACTCATCTGAAATTCCAAAAGTTGATGGTGCAGAAAAGCCTGTAGATTCTCCACAGGAAGAAGCAGAGCCCAAAGAACCACTTGTAGATGATATTATTGTTGCATCCGTGAAGTTATTCCAGAGTAATGATTCGATGGCATTTCCATTGACTGATTTGTTTATGACACTATGCCGTCGAAATAAAGGGGGAGATAGACCAAAAGTTGTTTCACATCTTATTCAGCAACTGAAGCTTACACCTCTGGACTTCTCCAAGGATACTGGTGCTTTGACTGTGATAGCCCATATTCTAGCATTAGTTCTTTTGGAAGATGATAACACACGAGAAATTGCTGCAGAGGATGGAATTGTGTCTGTAGCAATTGATATCTTGACGGATTTCAAGTTAAAAAATGAATCAGCGAATGAGATTCTGGCTCCAAAATGCGTTAGCGCTTTGCTTCTTGTTTTGAGCATGATGTTGCAGACTCGACCAAGAGTGTCTTCTGGAACTGCTGAAGCAAATCAAAGCGGATCCCTGCATGGTTCTTCTGAGCAGCACGATTCTTCATTGGACTCAGCGGCAGCTTTTACGAAAAGACTGGCATCGGATATCGATAACAAGGAGCGAGACCCTCCTTTTGAAATGATTTTTGGAAAATCTACAGGCTACCTTACAGCTGAAGAGGGTCAAAAAGCTTTATTAATCGTCTGTGACCTTATAAAGCAGTGTGTTCCGGACATGGTCATGCAGGCTGTCCTTCAGTTATGTGCTCGTTTAACCAAAACACATTCTTTGGCTATTCAGTTTCTTAAAAATGGAGGATTGCCTTCTCTTTTTAGCCTTCCGAAAAAGTGTTTTTTCCCGGGGTACGATACTGTTACTGCTGTTATTGTACGACATCTTGTTGAAGATCCTCAGACCCTTCAAATTGCTATGGAATCAGAAATACGACAGATATTGAGTGGGAAGAGACATATTGGGCGGATATTACCTCGGACATTCTTGACAACAATGGCACCTGTAGTTTCAAGGGATCCTGTGGTTTTCATGAAAGCCGTGGCTTCAACTTGTCAGCTGGAGTCATCAGGGGGGAGGGAATTTGTGGTGTTGTCAAAGAGCAAAGAAAAGCCAAAAGTTTCTGGCAGTGAACACGGATTTTCTTCAAATGAACCTCTCAGAATTTCTGAACATAAGCCTCAGGATGGGTCGGGAAAATGTTCAAAAGGTCATAGAAAGGTCCCCGCTAATTTATCTCAAGTAATCGATCAGCTTATTGACATCGTATTGAGATTCTCGGGGGCAAAGGGGCAGGAAGATGATGAAACCTATTTGGATATGATGGAGGTGGACGAACCTACCACTACAGTCAAGGGTAAATCAAAAGTCGGTGATGCTAGGAAAGCTGAGTTTGGATTTGAGAAATCTGAAGGGTTAGCTAGGGTAACATTTATCCTTAAGTTGTTGAGTGATATTACTCTCATGTATGTACATGCAACCAATGTCATACTGAAACGAGATGCAGATTTATCACAGCTCAGAGGATCCAGCCAACCTGATGATTCACCTGGACATGGAGGGGTGCTTTATCATATAATTCATCGCCTGCTTCCTATAACTATAGACAAACTTGCTGGACCTGATGAGTGGAAGAAGAAACTGTCTGAAAAGGCTTCCTGGTTTTTAGTTGTTTTGTGCAGCCGTTCTAGTGAAGGACGCAAAAGAGTAATCACTGAGCTCGCAAAGGTTTTATCTTCGTTTGCAGTGTCAGGAAGAAATTCTAGCAAAAACCTTTTGTTACCAGATAAAAGAGTTCTTGCTTTCGTTGATTTGGTGTCCGATATTCTGTCAAAGAATTTATCTTCCAGCAATTTACCTGGGTCTGGTTGTTCGCTTGATGTGGCAAAGAGCATGATAGATGGGGGAATCATCCAGTGTTTGACAGACATTCTTCAAGTGATCGATCTTGATCACCCCGATGCTCCAAAACTTGTGACACTTATTCTTAAGTCTCTCGAGACATTGACAAGGGCTGCAAATGCTACTGAGCAGGTTCCCAAATCTGAAAGTTCAAACAAGAAAAAAAGCACAGGTTCAAATGAGAGACATAATAATCGTGAAACTTTAAATGAGACTGAAGCTGACGAGCATAACCAAAATTGCAGCAGCCAGCAAGGAGTAACAGATGCAACGCTGAATGGACTGGAGCAGCCTCAAGTTGCCTCTCAAAGTGAAGGTGAACATGATTCGAATCAAACCAGATCTTTTCCTCAGGACATGAGGATAGAGGTAGATGAGACAATGCCCTCAGAACCTATTCAGATGGATTTTATGTGTGAAGACATTGAAGGTGGGGTATTACACAACACCGATCAAATCGAAATGACTTTTCATATTGAGAATAGAGCTGACCATGATGTAGATGATGACATGGGAGATGATGGTGAGGACGAAGAAGATGACGATGAGGGAGATGACGAGGATGAAGAATTAGTGGAAGATGGAGCAGGTATTATGTCGCTTGCTGAAACTGATGTGGAAGACCCTGAGGATGCTGGTCTTGGAGATGAATATAACGATGACATGATTGAGGAAGATGATGATGATGATTTCCATGAAAATCGTGTAATAGAGGTCCGATGGAGGGAAGCTCATGATGGGCTGGATCACTTTCAGATTCTTGGACAGCCTGGAGGTGGAAATGGTTTTATTGATGACCTTGCCGCTGAGCCTTTTGAAGGAGTGAATGTGGACGATCTTTTAGGTCTTCGCAGACCCTTGGGCTTCGAGCGTCGACGCCAAATTGGCAGGGCTTCTTTTGTTAGATCTGGTTCAGAAGTGCATGGTTTTCAACATCCACTCTTCTCCAGACCTTTGCAAACGGCTGATATGGCCTCACTCTCAGCAACTGCTGGTAATTTATCTAGGGATTCAGAAGCTGGGAATTATGATGTGGGGCAGTTTTATATGTTTGATACACCTGTTCTACCCTATGATCAAGCATCAAGTAATCTTTTTGGTGATCGCTTGGGAGGTGGGGCACCGCCACCTCTGACGGATTATTCTGTGGATTCATCAAGAAGATGGGCTAGTGATGGTCGGTGGACTGATGATGGTCATCCACAACCAAGTACCCAAGCTGCTGCAATTGCTCAGGCAGCAGAAGAACAGTTCATTTCTCGCTTGCACGCTTCTGCTCCAGCAAGAATTGTTGTTGAAAGGCAGCCCCATAGTTCAGAAGTTCAAGAACAGCAGCAATCAGATGCTCATCCAGCTGATGACAGCCAAACCGTTTTGGGGGATGGTAACAGAAGCCACCAGCATTGTGAAGGACTGGGACAATCAAATAATAACAACAGTGTTAATGATGCACCTGATGCAACAGTTCAGATTGCCAATCAAGATCAAGCTAATATAGCATCTCCTACTGTCCATGATGCAGGTGAATGCCTCCAGCAGCATGAACTGTATATTCAGCCCCGTCCTCTGAATAGTGCATCCAATGCGATTGACAGAATGGAAGTTGCGGAAAGTAATGGAATTGCTGTTGGACAATCTGACGTCGACTCAGCTCCTCTCATCTCCCCTACCCAAGGTCAACACGGTGATCCTGCCAATATTGAAAATGTATCTGTTACTGGGATGTCTCTTCCAGATAATGGTCTTACTTCTATGGTTCAAGCAAGTACAGATGTAGATATGGGTTGTGATAGTGCAGAGGGAAATCAAAATGTTCTACCTTTGCGTTTGGCCCGTGACACCAATGAGCTTTCATCCGTGGGAGCCACAGAAGTTGCAATGGAAGGCGAACAAGTTTCTCAAGATACTTCGAATAACGGGCCCTCCGGAGCCAATGCCATTGATCCTGCATTCTTGGAGGCGCTACCTGAAGATTTGCGGGCTGAAGTCCTTGCTTCACAGCAAGCTCAGTCAGTTCAGCCTCCTGCTTATGCACCGTCTCCAGTAGATGACATAGATCCTGAGTTTTTGGCTGCCCTTCCCCCAGATATCCAGGCAGAAGTTCTAGCTCAACAAAGGGCACAGCAAATCGTACAGCAGTCTCAGGGACAGCCAGTTGACATGGATAATGCCTCGATTATAGCGACTTTACCTGCTGATTTACGTGAAGAGGTTTGTATCTCCATCTGTATTTTATTCAGCTGGTATGTCTCATGAACTAGTAGTAATGTTTCAAAATATGCTTATATTATTCCAGGTTCTCTTAACTTCGTCAGAAGCTGTTTTAGCAGCTTTACCTTCTCCTTTGCTTGCCGAAGCTCAGATGCTCAGAGACCGAGCAATGAGTCACTATCAGGTTCGTAGTCTTTTCGGCGGTAGCAGGCTGAATAATCGGAGGAATGGTTTGGGATACAATAGGTCGGCAGGAACGGACAGAGGTGTAGGAGTCACCATTGGTCAGAGTGCTGTTACATCTGCTGCAGATGGCTTGAAAGTAAAAGAGATTGAAGGAGAACCTCTTCTGAATGTCAATGGCTTGAAATCGCTTGTCAAGCTCTTACGACTAGCTCAGGTAGAACTATTCACTCTAGACACTTATTGAACTCAGAGAGTAGTGGATTTACGAAGACGGTGATATGTAGTGTATTGGTGGTAAATTGTTGATCAGTTTTATAGTATTTTAGTATAGTCAAATTTTCCTTTTTACATCTCTTTATTTTTCTCTGGATCCTTCTACCTTGGAATGGCCTTACCCTTATCACAGGGTCAACGGTAACAACGGTTGGAGAAAAAAAAAATCAATGCTTTTGGTGTTAGCCCAACACATCTCAATAGCTATTTGATTGTGAAGTACTTTATGTATCGTGTTTTGCTTTTCTTTAACTTGGTGTTGTTGTTTTCAATGTTATCAGCCTTTGGGAAAAGGTCTTCTGCAGAGACTTCTGCTAAACCTATGTGCACACAGTGTTACAAGAGCAAAATTGGTTCTACTTTTGCTGGATATGATAAGGCCAGAAACTGAAATTTCAACAAGTGGGCTGGAAACAACTAACCCACAGAGGCTTTATGGTTGTCAATCGAATGTTGTTTATGGACGATCCCAGTTGTTGAATGGTAGCGATTTTTGTCGAAATTATTTGTCAATTATTCTTACCAGCTCCCAGAACTCTGTTTCTTATTTGTGCTCTCCACGCAGGTGTTCCTCCCTTGGTTTTCCGTCGGGTGCTTGAGGTTTTGACTTACATGGCAACGAATCATTCGGCTGTGGCTGACATGTTGTTCTACTTTGATTCATCACTTATATCTCGGTTGTCAGGCCCAAATCCCTCAGGAGATGAAGACAAGGGCGAGGAGACAGCCACTGAGAGAATTATTCCTGTGAAATCTGTGACACAGTCTTGGGACCTTGAAATACCTCTGGTTCTCTTCCTGAAGTTGCTTAGTCGGCCTCTGCTCTTACAGAGTACATCTCATCTTGGACAGGTATGCTCATCATGATGTTCATGGAATAACCGATGCTAGAATTGTCAGCCCATAACAGTAGAAAATAGCTAGTGCTGGGAACTTTATTCTTATTACTTTCTTGTATGTTCAAAATTCTGATCTGTATGCCTAGGTCATGGGCTTGCTTCAAGTAATTGTCAACACGGCAGCCTCATTAATTGAGGGTTGGTCGCCATCATCAGGGGCACTTGAGAATTCAGAAAACAAGCTTGTGGATGAGGAAGCTTCAAATGAAACAAGAAAAGATCCTGAATCTAGCCAGGGAAACAAAGCAGATGAAACAGATTTATCGGTCTCAGGAAGGAAGAAATGTGCTGAAACATATAATGTTTTCCTGCAGTTGCCTCAGTCTGATCTCCGCAATCTCTGCAGTCTTCTTGGTCGTGAGGGGTAAGGAACAACTGCCTTTCATCTCTCAGGCTTCTTATTTTTTCTGTTTGTGTGATCTACTGAAACGGCTTTTCTTTTCTTTAGAGTAATTTACAATCCTAGATACGTATCGACTGACCCACGTGTCAATAACTTAACAGGCTGTCAGATAAAATTTATTCGCTCTCTGGAGAAGTGCTGAAGAAACTGGGTGCAGTTGCTGTGGCTCACCGCAAGTTCTTCACAAAAGAACTCTCAGAATTAGCTAGCAGTTTGAGTGCTTCTACTGTCAATGAGTTAACCATTCTCAGGAATGCACAAAAGATAGGTCTCAGTACGGGTTCCATGGCTGGAGAGTCAATCCTGCGAGTACTGCAAGTACTTAGTTCACTTACTTCCCCTGCTAATAATAACAATGTGGGAAGCGTGAGTGAAACAGAACAGGAGGAACAAGATGTTATGCTGGGATTAAACATGGCCTTAGAACCCTTGTGGCAAGAACTGAGCGAGTGTATTACTATGACTGAGATGCAGCTAGATCATACTGTGCCTACAACCACGTCCAATGTAAACCCCAGAGATCATGTCCAAGGAGCCTCTCCTTCATCCCCTCTTCCTCCAGGAACCCAGAAGCTCCTACCTCTTATTGAGGCTTTCTTTGTTCTCTGTGAAAAGATCCAAATTAATCTGTCAATCTTGCAGCAAGATCATGCAAATGTGACAGCTGGAGAAGTTAAGGAGGCTGCCCATGGCTCCTATTCTGTGAACTCTACATCAGTTTTGGATTCCCAGAAAAAGCTTGATGGATCTGTTACATTTGCAAAGTTTGCTGAGAAGCACAGGCGTCTTCTGAATGCATTTGTTAGACAGAATCCAAGTTTGTTGGAGAAGTCACTTTCTATGATGTTGAAGGCACAGAACTGAGCGAGTGTATTACTATGACTGAGATGCAGCTAGATCATACTGTGCCTACAACCACGTCCAATGTAAACCCCAGAGATCATGTCCAAGGAGCCTCTCCTTCATCCCCTCTTCCTCCAGGAACCCAGAAGCTCCTACCTCTTATTGAGGCTTTCTTTGTTCTCTGTGAAAAGATCCAAATTAATCTGTCAATCTTGCAGCAAGATCATGCAAATGTGACAGCTGGAGAAGTTAAGGAGGCTGCCCATGGCTCCTATTCTGTGAACTCTACATCAGTTTTGGATTCCCAGAAAAAGCTTGATGGATCTGTTACATTTGCAAAGTTTGCTGAGAAGCACAGGCGTCTTCTGAATGCATTTGTTAGACAGAATCCAAGTTTGTTGGAGAAGTCACTTTCTATGATGTTGAAGGCACCAAGGCTGATTGACTTTGACAACAAGAAAGCATATTTCAGGTCAAGGATAAGGCAACAGCACGACCAACACATTTCTGGGCCATTACGTATCAGTGTCCGTCGTGCTTACGTACTGGAAGATTCATACAACCAGTTGCGTATGCGTTCCCCGCAGGATCTGAAAGGACGGTTGAATGTGCAATTTCAAGGTGAGGAAGGTATTGATGCTGGTGGTCTGACTAGAGAATGGTATCAGTTACTGTCGAGGGTTATATTTGACAAGGGAGCTTTGCTCTTCACAACCGTTGGAAACAATGTGACCTTCCAACCGAATCCCAATTCTGTATACCAAACCGAGCATCTCTCATACTTCAAGTTTGTGGGTCGTGTGGTAATATACGAGGACCTTTCTACTATGGTTTTCTTGCTGTGCATTCTTTATTAACCTAAGTTGTTTTTTTCTTTATCTCCCTTCCTGCAGGTGGCAAAGGCATTGTTAGACGGGCAGCTTTTGGATGTTTATCTGACTCGTTCCTTCTATAAACACATACTTGGTGTAAAGGTGACTTACCATGATATAGAGGCGGTTGATCCCGATTACTACAAGAATTTGAAGTGGTTGTTAGAGGTTTGAGATCTTGCCTGAATTTGTTTTTTTAGTCCTGTTATCTGTTAGACTAATCCCTCGCTGTCACCTTTTTTTCCTCCCAGAATGATGTGAGCGACATACTGGACCTGACATTTAGCATGGATGCAGATGAGGAAAAACACATCCTTTATGAGAAGGCTGAGGTATGTATGTGGTCATAGGCATCCGTCATGCTGTTTTTTTCCCATGCACATGTCATGTTGAATTTTTTTAATCTTTTTGCTATCCGCTGATAAAGGTGACGGATTACGAGCTTAAACCTGGAGGACGAAACATACGGGTGACAGAAGAAACCAAGCATGAATATGTTGACCTTGTAGCCAGCCACATATTGACTAATGCTATCCGGCCTCAAATCAACGCGTTCCTTGAAGGCTTTAATGAGTTAATACCACGGGACCTCGTATCGATGTTCAATGATAAAGAGCTTGAGCTGCTTATAAGTGGGCTGCCTGAAATTGATTGTGAGTTGGTTCCCCCATATGTTCAATTATCATTGCATCTCTTTGCTCGTATGAGCTATCGTGACAATTGTTCTTTCTGTTTCCATTTGTTTAGTGGACGATCTAAAAGCAAACACCGAGTATACTGGTTACACACCGGCATCTCCCGTTGTTCAATGGTTCTGGGAGGTAGTTAAAGCTTTTAGCAAAGAAGACATGGCTAGGCTACTGCAATTTGTCACTGGAACATCAAAGGTAAAGCAGGGGAATTTCGATCTCTCATGTAACAATAATAATCATGCATATGTGATAATAGATGTTGGTTGGTTTAAGAGATCATTCTAGTCTTGCTACATCTTTGGTAAATACGATAAATACCTCTTACCCTTCTTTTTAGATGTTTCTTGAAACACATGGTGTGATAAACCTCTACTCCTGTTTCTCTGTTTCTTACATTCCTCATTATCTTTTCCTAAATTAGTCTATCACAAGTTTATTCTGCGTTTTCAAAACGGTTTTTTTGGGGGGTTTCAGGTTCCATTGGAGGGATTCAAGGCGCTGCAGGGAATATCTGGCCCTCAGAGATTCCAAATCCACAAAGCTTATGGAGCTCCAGAGCGGCTACCATCAGCTCATACATGGTTAGATAACATCACTCATAACCTTTAATAACATAACATCATTCTACTTTTCCGAACCAAAAAGATTGATTCTCACCCACGACTGGCTCAACATCTACTTGAATCTGCTCGCTCGCAGTTTCAACCAGCTGGACCTCCCAGAGTATTCATCGAAGGAACAACTTCAGGAGCGTCTTTTGCTTGCAATTCACGAGGCCAGTGAAGGATTCGGGTTTGCTTGAACAAAGCTTCTCGAGCCAGAGCCGCCACCATCAGAACCAGTGAAAACCGTCCATCCTCCCTTGTTGACTCCTTGTACATGTAAGTAACCTTCTTACCTCCCCAGCTAAACACAGCAGAGATTGATTCCCAATGTTTTGTCAGAGACAGTATATAATGGCATGCATGAACGAAAAAAGTAATCCATCTCTCTGGCCAAAAAATAAAGATGCGGGTATTTGATCTTATGAGAAACCCATGTCTCTAAAGTCTTAAAAGCACAGCGTTTGTTGGATTTAAGCCCAATTTATGAATCCTTTTGAGCGTGTCATTTACATCGACCTGCACTTGGATAACTCTCATGCTTGGACAGATTGCTAGATTTTCGGATGCGACGGATGCGGTGAGCAACGAAGGCGGGACGGAAGACAGCTTTTCTGTTCTGTGGAAGCCTTGCGGGGTGAAAGAGATCAGAATGAATCCCCCTTTGAACAAAGAGAGTGTTATGATTCAGAATTTGAGGGAGTCATTACAGATTTTAGTATTTCAGCAGACGAAGAGGAGGAAAACTTAAGCTATATATCTTTATAATATGTTAATATTGTGAATCAGTATAATCCTCCATTATCTTATTAGCTTTTGTACACAAGCATGTCATATTTGGGCGCACATATGGCCTGTGTGTACGGCCCATCTAAAATATATTATTGGCGCAGTTAATGGCCCGTCATGAGCCTAACCTAAAGGCTATGAAGCCTCGAGTATGGACCCATTAAATTTAGCTCCGCTTTTAAAAGATGGCAAAGATATTGGATCCAATTCCACCAATCATTTTGCAGTACCATGTGGGGTGGACACAGATCGGATATCCGTGATTTTTGAGATATCCGTATCCGATCCGCACAAATACTCGATTTTATTATCCGTATCCGATCCGTAATTTACGGATATCCAAAATTTCGGATATCCGTAAATATCGCGGATATTTGCGAATATCCTTATCCGACATAAAAATTATAAAAATTAAATTCAAATTTAAATAACAATTTTAAATATAAAAAAATATATAAGTTATTTAATATAAATGTTATTCACAATTTAAAATTCATAATTTAAATATTTTAAATCAATTCAATTATAAATATAATCATAATAAATTTTAAAGTTCAAAATCAATTCTATTATATACAAATATAATTCTATTATATACAAATATAATTCTATTATATACAAATATATTGAAAGTTTAAAATTTAAAAATTAAACATAATAAATTTTAATATTCAAAAGATTAAATATTCTAAATCTCAATATATACAAAATATTTCTTGAATATATATATAAATTATGTAAGTATAAAGCATTTAAAATTTTTATAGCAAATTATTTTTATATTTAATAATATTATTAATTAGTACGGATCGGATCGGATATGTCGGATAATTCGAATTTGATATCCGTATCCGATCCGTATCCGACAAATATTTCTTGATATAATGCCCAAAACGCAACCAATTAAATGTTATTTCAAGAGAAATTTATAGAAAAATGATTTTAAAATCTCTAAACAAAATTATCAATCACTTTCTGGCCTCCAGGAACGTGACATCGGATATAGAATAATACCCCCCACAAGCATGAGTCCAGAGGCCCGTGATACTTTGCATGGACATTAAGCACGTGCATGCTTTGCACATTAGAGTATCAAAAAAAAAAAAAAGGAAGTTCCCTCTTCCTCTGGATTATTGAACGAAACGCAAACAAGCCGTCCAGAAGGTACAAATTCCTTCGCTTTTTTCCATCTCTTCGTGTACTGTTTCTGATTTTGTTGGTGGGGAAAGACAGTTTTTTTCCTCCGTAATTCTCGGAGATTCGTGAAGAACCGCATATATGCTTTCTGGGTTTTTGCTGTTGTTTCGATTGATGGATTAGGAAGAATGGCTGATTTTGGCTTCGACGGACATGGATGAACAGTTGTAGGCGATTTTAGCTGGTGGGGTCTCTGCATTTTTGCCTGTGACTATCGAACAAAAGTTGAAATCTTATAGTCTTCCCCTGTTTCCGAGTTTTCTGTCTTGTCCCTTTTGGGCTTCAATATTTAGTCTCTTAGGGTTTTCTTGTCTTGACTATTGCAAATCCCTCGGCTTCTGTCTCATTCCTTGTCATGTTTCGTTCTTCTCGGTCTGTGTTTCTTATTAAAAGTGTAGTCAGATTCTTTGATCCCACTTGTGTAACTCGCATTATCATATAGAATGATTTCTCTTCCTTCTTTTTGTTCGAGCTCGAGATGACTCCATTGCCATTGGTAGAGTGCTCACTGGTTTCTTCTTTTTGCTCTCGTGGCTCTTCTCCTTGAGAAATTTTCAGCTAATTGATGGAGTTCAGCGTCTGCGTCTTACTTCACGTAAATGGGTAGAAAGTGTTTCTTATTTGTTCATTTGTAGCTTAACATAGAACAGTGGGTCAAACAGGTATTGTAGCAGCGAATCTGAAGAGGCTGCAATATGGCTGCAAAGGGAGAGAGAGACACAAGTTCATCGTTGCAATCTGTCAAAGACGCAGTTATTCTCTTTGGCACCCGTCCATTGTCTAGAAACAAACGCATTATGGCCTCTAATCTTTCGGCAAACCGATCAAGGGTATGAGATTTTAGAGATTTCTTCAACTTGAGGTTGACAACCCATTTTGCTAAAGAAGATAAAAGGAACTCTGATCAGACCTCCTTCACAACAAATGGGCTCTGTCGTTTAATTGCAGCATATGTGTGCTTCTGCTAAGTATGGGTTTTGGTTGCAGAGAACACCGAATGAGGAGACAAAGCTTCATCTCTCTCGGAAACAGTTGAACAAGTTGAAAGAAGATATAAAGAAGGCTGATGCAAGAAAGGCTGAGGCAGTGTTGGAGCTTGAAAAGGCGAAAACAGTGGTTGTTGATCTCTCTGACAAGGTTAGAGCAGCAGATGAATCTGCAGAATCAGCCATAAGTGCTACAGAAATGGCCGGGAATCAGGGAAAACGGAACAAACAAGCAGATTCGGCTCAGAAACAGGATTTGAAATCGACTGTAGACATTTACGCCGCTGTTTTTAGCAAACTCGATCAGAAAAAGCAAGAGATCTGGAAAATCTGCCAGGATATGAGAAATGTGGAGGGTATTGATTTGGATTCTGTGAGAGTTGTGACTTCAAACCTGGACATTGCCAAGGAATCTCTTCAGAGGGTAGCTGAAGAGGAGATTGGTTTATGCAAAACGTTAGAGTCTCTGAAACTCGAGCTTAAAAACGTGCAGAAAGAACATGCAGGGCTTATAGAGAAGGAAATAGAAATGGAAGCCATTGCCAGAGACCTTCACGCCAAACTCCAAAAAACCAAGGCTGATCTTGAAATTGAAGCAGAAGCAGAGGAGCTGAGGAAGGAAGCTGAAGACGTAAACATTGAACTACGAAAGCTCGAAGAACAGCTGAAAGCTGCTCTGTTTGAGGCTGAAGAAGCGAAAGCTGCCAAGGAACGCGCCCTTGAATGCGTCAAAGGATTTGCCTTTTCCGAGAGTACTGATGTTACCAGGGCCTCATTTTCAGAACCCGTTTCCAGAATTACGATATCTCTGGAAAAGTTTGAGTCTTTACGAAAGAAAGCCGAGGAATTCAACAACTTAGCTCAGGTACATGCTACAAGGGCATGCATGGATGAAGCTCTCAAGAAACTAGAGATGAGTAAGGGAGAGATTAAGGGTCTACAGGCTGAGGTAACAGAGGCGGTGCAGAAAGCTGAGATTGCTGAAGAAGGCAAAAGATCAGTTGAAGCAGATCTTAAAAGATGGCGGGAGAGAGAGCAGAAGAAAGCAGCTGAAATAGCAACTAGGATCTTGTCTGAAACCGAGATTCCTGTCAAATCATCATCACTCCATAACTCAGAGATCCCGAAGAACTCTGGAAAGAAACTGCGGAAGCCGAAAACAGAAGCCTCCAAGAAAGTTATTTCGACAAGTGTAAGTGGAATCTTTCGTCGAACAAAGAATCAAGATGATGTCAGATTCGCTTCTTGTCTTCCAAGTTAAGACTCTTTTTCAAGTGTTCCGACAATCATCTTCTTCTTTTCCTCGTACATAGTGTCCGACCTTCCTGGTCTTTGTTGCAACATGCAAATCTGTGTATAACTGAATCTCTTCTCTATTGGTTAATGAATGAAGTAGAAGAGAGCTCCTATATGTTGATAATGATAGATGATTTCATTCCTTGGCCAAATTTCAGTATCATGATTATAATTTGTATATATGTATGGAAGCATATGATATATTAGTGATGAACTCTGTGTTTGTAATTGATTTGATTGGGGATATAGGATTGAAATTCAAGCGATGGTCCGACGTATAATATATAATCTAGTTGATTATTTATAGGATTAACACACTTTTCCATGAACCAGAAAAAATAAAACCATTCAGTTACAAAAAAAAAAAATCCATTTATCAAAGTTCATAGTTAATGGAGTAAGATTGTTTTTGAAATATTTATCAATATAATAAGATTTTATATATATATATATATAAACATACGCAACTACGGTTTTTCAAGCCCCGCCCGACTCCTCTTCTCTTCTTGTTTCAATTGGTCATCTCTATCTCGTTTGGGATTTAGGGTTTTTGTGAATCGGAGATGACGACTGCTGCTCGGCCGACTTGGGCTCCCGCCAAGGGTGGCAACGAGCAGGGAGGTGCTCGGATATTCGGCCCCTCTCAGAAGTATTCCTCCAGGGATGTCGCCGCTCATACGACTCTCAAGCCAAGGTGAGGTTTCGATTCGCTTCTCTTCCGTTTTGTGTGACAAATTTTGTGACTCTGTGATTATGCAATGTTTCTAGGGTTCCTCTCGATATAGATAATCGGTGAGGTTGGCTAGATTTCTAGGGTTTACTGCTGTGGAACACGAGTTGATTTTGCACGTATCGTGTTTTTCTTGTGGAATTTGCTGAAATTGGTACCTGTTTACGCTTCGCGCTTCGGAGATGGGTTGTTTCGTGTTATAAATGTTATCTGCTCCCTTTTGTACCTTTATGGATATACGTGTCGTTGTGTATGGCGGTTTGTTGAGTTGATCTTTTGAAGGCTTTTTTGTTGGCTGGATATGCTCATGTGTTCCTGTTGTTTTCGTTTCGCAGGAGGGAAGGACAGCACACTCAAGAAGAATTGCAGAAGAAGAATCTTCGTGATGAGCTCGAGGAGCGTGAGAGGAGACATTTCTCATCCAAAGACAAGTCTTACGTTGGTAAACAAGATGGTCGTTGTTAACTTATGTCTTTTTCACTATGATGATCTTATGTGGCTTGCGAAATCTAACCTCTCCACACTGCCTCTTTGTTAATGTGATTTGTTGCATGGTTTCAGATGATAGAGATCGCAGAAGGGGCAGTCAACTTCTACTGGAAGGTTGGAAAATTGTCATTGTCATTATATATGAATTAGACTTTGTTCAAAACGTTTTCTGACATGGATATCTTGTCTATAGGCTCTAAAAGGGACCCTGAAGACCGGATTGTTCCTCGCAGTGCAGATGCTGATGATTCTGACATTGAGGTCAAGAGTGAAGGTGATAGGTTCGTAACTTGACCATCTCCTGTATTGTCTTTCTTTGCTTTTATTTCATAGTCTGTTGTCCCTTTTAGGTTACTTTATATCTGATTATAAGGATCAAGATTATAGTTGTATTTTGCTACTTTTGGCTATGATATGCTACTGGCGTTGAGATGTTTCCAAAATGGTTTTCTATTGTTTCACACCAAGTAATTTGCTGTAAGTTGTTATCCTTATTGAACAGTTATGTGTTTTGTTGTGGGGAGAAATGATGATTCTTGGTTGTGATTTCTCCCAAAATGTGATTTTGTGTCCCTTTCTCCAAACTAAGCTCTACATTTCATTTTATATTTTTATTTCGGTTTGATTTTTTGTGTCTCAGTGATGACGAAAGTGATGACGATGATGAAGATGACACTGAAGCTCTTTTGGCTGAACTTGAGCAGATAAAGAAAGAAAGAGCTGAGGAGAAACTCCGAAAGGTACGATTAGTCTTGTCTGGTGAGGAATTGTGTGCAGATATTTTTCTATGGATGGCTAGAACAGGTCTCAGTTCAATAATTTGTTTTAACGCTTTGATGTGACTATTTAGCTTGGGGAGATTCTATATTCTTAAACCAGCTGTTACCTTGGATCTTTTGGTATTTAATTGTGTCATGCATGTTATCTAGGAAAAGCAGCAACAGGAGGAAGAGCTGAAGGTGAAGGAAGAAGCACTTCTCAGAGGGAATCCACTCCTTAACAGTCCAGCCTCATTCAATGTCAAAAGGAGGTTAGTCACTTGAAAACCATTTCTTTTCATGAATCTTGGAATTATATTAACTGTAGGAGCAGAGATTAAGATTCAGTTTTCTTTGTTCAGGTGGGATGATGATGTGGTTTTCAAGAATCAGGCCCGTGGGGAAACAAAAGCACCTAAGCGCTTCATCAATGACACTATCAGGAACGACTTCCACCGAAAATTCCTGCAGAGATACATGAAATGATTGAACAGAGAGTTGTTACTACTTGTTTATATGATGAACCAAGGCATTATATTTTATATTCTGTGTTGGGTTATGTTGTCTTTCTATTAAAACAAAAGCAGAATGACAATTGTATAACTTTAATGCTAATTTTCTGATTGCTACTCTGCTCTTGTCCATATATAACACCTTGAGACTTCAAAATTGGAGGGAGCTTGATTGATCATGGATCTAATGCCATAGTTGCTGTATAAGCTTGCTTATCTTTTTCAGGCTGCGTCTTATTATCAGAGATGGCAGATATTGATTCTCTTCCGCAGGGAGAAGTAAGCACAGAGGCGGTAGCCGAAAGCCATGGCAAGCAGAAACCATAGTTCTTGGAAACCGCCATTCAAGTTGACTGTGTCGAAGGAAGATGAGCTTTGCAGTTTCTTGCAGCCATCTTTGCTCCCACATTCATAAAGGTGGTCGCCCGAGTACTGAACTTTCAGCAGCAGTCTAAAGCCATAATGCATGAAGGACAAGTACTTCAACCACTGCATGAACTTTGGTATGTGCTGCATTCAAGAGTTCAAAAGAGCATAAGATATTTCTTCTGTCTTCATGCATATGCAATTACATTTATTCTCTATCCGTTAGGATGTTTGCTCATGTGTGATTGTTGTTGATTATAGTTTGTCTTCCAGTCATGAGGCTTACACCAGGTTATCATTACCATGTAAAGTTGTCTACCATGGTTGAACGTGGCTGGGTTAAGAGTATACTGAGTACCTGAACATAATAACCTCCTGTTAGAAGAAACAACATTAGCACCAAGGAGGCGATCATGCCTGCGCTCTTAATGCTCAAAACTGAAGCGCCAAGGAACTCTCCTGCACCCTGAAAATTATGAGGCAGAAACCATCTTAATCGCCAAAGAGGTAGAATCCTAAAAAAAGCAATGGTATAAGTCATCTCGCTCAACCCTCTTTTTGTGTGCTTACTTGGCTTGTGATGGCTATCAATAGTATTGTGAACAAGGTGAAAAGGAAGCACGGGACAGTCCTCCTGAACCCAGCCATGAAGTAGACGATGATCATGAAGAATGTTGGGTAGAAAACGTGTGCTACCATATCACAGAGTGTACTGCATACGTAGTATACGCTTAGTCTGTACATATCAGCTTTTCTTTCTTTCACTATGTAGATCTTCTCAAAGGGAAACACATATACTGCTCCGAAGATGGATGACGATGTCCAAAATATGCATATGTAGAACATCAAGCCAACCTGCAAGTAGAAGTTATGTAATAAGTGAGAGTTTTATTTATAGCTTTGGTGTAAGTGCAAGGCTGACACGAGTTTAATCACTTGGTCTCTAAGGTGCGCCTCTGTGTCTGTCTTCGATTTCCACCATAGCAGACCCAACAAGACAGCAATGCCGAGGGCTTGAACAAATCTTAGCTTATCAAAGTAATCTCTACACCGCTCTCGGAATGTTCTTCTGAAAATGATCAAGAACTGATCCCACCATGAAAGTGTCCAGTCCTTCTTCACTTGAATGGCCCGCTGAAGATGTTCTGGGGCCATCCTGTTTCTGTGGTTTTCTTCCTTTTCTTTCGGCTCCAAATCTGTCTTGTACATTAGTTGTAGGTACTGCTATTGCAACAAAATGGTTCAGTGATACTCTGAATCGAAGGTATGAAAGCGTTCATTTCATATTTTTTATATTTACCTTGACTATCACTTCCTCAGAATCCGGGTGGGAGGCTTTGGCAGCCAATAGTTCATCAGGCAGACTTATGTCCGTCACTTGTCCGGTGGCCAAGTCTAGCAAGAACTCTGCTGGGTTCATCGCTATTTCAGGTACGATTCTCAAAGATGAGAAGTACTCCATTGTTTCCCTAGCTTTGCCATAGAAAACAGGGTATCCTTCTGAGATCAGTAGTAGCTTGTCGAACATGTGAAACATCCTGCTTGATGGTTGGTGAATTGTCGTGATGACTGTCCTTCCTGCCTGCAAAAGACATTTGAATCAATTAAAAACAAGTATCCCAAGAACTTTACTCATAACTAATTTGCGGGATTGGAAGTGCTGACACCTTAGCTACTCCTTGCAGAATATGAAGAAGTTTAGTTGCGGAAGTGGAATCAAGGCCTGAGGTTGGCTCGTCCAAGAACAGCAAGGAAGGATCTACAAGAATTTCATATGCTATACTTGTTCTTTTCCTTTCTCCTCCTGATATTCCTTTCACAAAACCACCTCCAACTCTTGTGTGACGGCACCTTTGTTGCATATCAAGAAATTGGTTTAGTATAGATAAGATAAGAGTGGCACTTGCTGGACTCGAAGCTGTATAGATAGCTTATCCTAGACAAATCCAGGAACAATTGTTTCTAGATAAGGGGACGTACCTTTCAAGGCCTAGCTCTTTAACGATCGTTTCTATTTTGGCATATTTCTGTCGCCTACTCATACTGCTTGGAAGTCTCAAAAACGCGGCAAACGCCAAGGTCTCTTCGACGGTAAGTTGTGGCAACAGCACATCGTCTTGTGTCACGAACCCAATCCTGGAAAAAGACAGAAAGACCGGCAAGTTCAGGTTCGGGAAAATATTATCGGGCTATGTAGTGAAAGGAAAGCTCATTGGTGCAGTACCTTCTCTTAACAGCGGGACTGTAAGGAATGTCATTGTAAGTAATCTTTCCCTTGACATTATCTGTTAGTCTTCCTCCCATTATCTTCAAGAGAGTCGTTTTGCCGCTCCCAGAAGGACCCATGAGGGCAAGAATCTCGCCAGGACCAGTGCTTCCCGTTATGCCCTTCAAGATATGCTTGTAGCCGTCTGGGTCTGACTTCATTTGTGCGGCGACCTTCGACACCATTGCTTTTGCGGGGTTTGTGGAGGCAGCTTGGCTGTTTCTCACCTTGTACTCCACATCTTCAAACTGCATTAGAGAAGTAAGTGGGGCTGAAACAACATGAAGAACGGAACCATGAAAGGAGAAGGGAGAAAACCTTGAGAAATATGGGAAGTGGTCGGGCTTCATGAGCGTTGGAAGCGTGATCTTCTTCTTCGATGTCGATCTCAGAGGAGTATCGGTTTCTGAGGTAAGCTTGGGACACAAACTCAATGTTATGAACCACTCCGTTGCTCCCGGCAATCTGCATAGAACCAACGACAGGATTGTCTATGAGTTGGTCGGCCGATCTTCTGGTCTCCATGTTCGGCTTTTTTTGGGACTCAAGAAATGAGTTTGAGAGAAGGGTTGTGGTATATAAAGCAAGAATATAAAGGGGTGTTGAAGGTGAAGTGGGAGCAAAGTGGATCAACTGTGACCAACCTGAATCTTTCTTGATTTCTGTTTCTTTTTTCCCCTTTAGGGTGTTGGTTTGGTAGGCCACAAGCTTTTAATGCTTTTATCAAAGCATACTATCAATTTTCCATTAAACATAGTTTTTTTTTTCTCTGAGGTCTCGGGGAAAAGGGAGAGGGTTTCATGGTGAATTACTCCTGGAGAGATTTGTATGTTAATATATTATCTGATAAAGAAGCTCTTGAGGATTTAACAGTTTCTATTTCTTCTCCAAGTTCAAGTGATAGAAAAAGGGGAAGAAGGACAAGGAGATACAGACAAGTCACAAAGTCTCCCGTTGCTGTGAATTCAAGATACAGACTACAGAGAAGCATGATGTCGATGGTGATCCACATAGTGTCAATGTATCATCCACCAACTCTATATAACCGATCCATCTATTCCTCTGCCTCCATTTGTCACCATAAATTCCAGTCCCTGTTTGATCATATTCCTAAGTACTTACATACAAAATCACTTTGCATCTGTTTGACTCGTCCACTTGTGCATCTCTGTAGCAGGAACTGTAGTTTCAGCCATTGCAGGTTTGGTTGAGGAACTGTAGTTTCAGCCATTGCAGGTTTGGTTGAGTGATGGTTGCTGGGTCTGATCGAGAGTTGGAGCAGTGGCCATGGGCTATGTCGTATCGTATGGTAAATTCTGGTGAAACCACCAACATGTCTAGTCTGCATGTGCGGAAATTCAGTTGGCTGATTCTGGTTGGGGCCAAGTCGTGCATTGGACTCGTCTGCAGGTTGCAGACACTCTGCCCCGGCCGCCGACGCCGCCGCG